GGGGGGGGGGGGAAGGGCGGTCAATGATATCCTACGCCGACGGAAACAAGAATCTAATACGGAGACGGACGGAGCGGCTACGAAAACGGTCGGGTCGTACGAGAGGATAAGAATATATGGTAGGCAAGCAGAGGTGCCCAACTGTTTATGTATTTGTGTCGAGATGCTGGGAGGCTGGATGGAGTGATGTGGTGACAAGAGAATGGCTGGAAATTTGCTTATGTCAGCCGATGACATCAACTGTGGAGCAGATCTGCCGAGGCTTGGCGGTAGAGCTACCATGGGACGTTTTTATGTCACGGTGCAACAAGAAGTATCACTGCAGAAACAAAGTAACTGATGCTCCTGAAGTTTCCGTTTGGCTTGTTAATCAGTTAAAGTATGTGAGAGAATTTCTTGCTGGATTGTAACCCCTTGCAAGCATTATGCCCCCTCCCCCTGCTGAGGAATAGAGAACTTGAAATGGATCCCCACACACCAGCCTACGTCATATCAGCCCTCGCATCCAGAGAAGGCATGGGAAGGTCTAGCCTCTGACAAACGACAGAAGAACCCGTAATAATGTGGTATTATTTCCTGCCCGGCTCATTATTTGGAATACCCAATAATTTTACAAGTATCCACATGCAAAAGGGATGCTGGACTAATAACATCCCTAAACATTGTATGTGCTTATTACTATCATTCAGGGGTTGATATGCTCATACTCGGTACCATGAACATTATTTAGTTGGGACTCTCTAGCCATGATCCCACGGGTGATAGATGGGACCTCGGGGATCTTGTCTCTGTGCCCCCTTTTCCACTATCGCAACTATGGTGTCGCTAGTCGTCGCATTTGCAGCAAGCTAGCCAGGAAATCCCCGCGTGTTTGATAGCCCGCAAGAGATATCAGCAAATGAACCACCACCGGGTAGTTATCAGCGAATTTCCAGACTCTTCTTTTCCGCATAGACTGCTATTAAGTTACTTACAACTCATGCAGCTGAAATCTTCCTATTTCCTTATATTTTATCCATGGGCATCAGAAACTCTGAACCGCGCCAAAAACAATATAAATCCAAATTAAAAGAGTGAAGATCACTCCCAGCACGCTAGGCGTGACTCTAGGGACTCCCAGGCCTGTTTACTGCCGGTGCTTTAGTTGGGGACGTCTTAAACATTAAAGCGTCAATAATCAACAACTATTAAGCTAGCTAGTGGTAAAGATTTAGTGATCTTAATGAAGGCGACGTTTTTAGTGCTTTGGGTATACTTTTGATAGCGACCACTGCACATGGAAAAGTTCCACCTTTAAAATTCCTATTCTTTTGACTTAACCCTTCTCTAATACCCCTGTTTTCTTCCCTGTTTATGTGCAGATTGCCTGTTCTTGTATATTTTATTTTTCCGTGTCCAAGGAGTGATTGAAGGGTTCAAGGTCCCGTGAAATAACCGCCTTGGTTGGGTGGGCGAGAATCCTGCTCCCCTCAACCAAAATATCTAGCCGGTAAATATATAAAAAACGGGGTCGAGTCTAACTCTAAAAGCCAGGAGAGGTTACATAGATTCATTGAGTAATTGAAAATAAACACCTGTATTTTTGTGCGCCTGGCTTCTATGCGACAGGATGAGGTATGAAGATGTAGTAAGAATAAAGTTGGCAGGTTGGTAGACGGGTGGTAGAGTAGGCAAGTTAGGTAGGATAATGGTAGTAGTACTGGTTAGTGGTATGGCAGTTGTGGTATGATATGATATGAGAACGAATCTTGGGAAAAAGAGTTTCGAACATAAAAAACAAAAGAGAAAGAAAAGAAGAACTGACATAAACGGACAAAAAGGAAAGCTAGAAGAAAACAAGAAGATAGAAGGATGGAGAGAAAAGAAAAGACACAAGGACAGCCAAACAACAGAAGAGAAATTGACCAAGCACAACCCAACCCAAATCCATCACATCATATCACCAACTCTACTCCCCACCAGCTCCCCCTTTATTTTCCCCGGCAGGCACAGGCGTCGACGTAGAAGACGCTGGAGAGTCTGTCCCCGCGCCTCCAACAGCACCCTTCCCAGGCCCTCCAGTACCACCATACCCTCCACTCCGCGCCCCTCTTCCACCGCCGCTACCGCCCCGTCCACCTCTATCACCTCCTCTCCCGCCTCGGCCCCTCCCACCATACCCACCACCTCTCCCCCGTCCACTCTCACCATCGCTCGTCGCACTACCGCTCTGATACCCGCTCCGCTGCCCAATGCCCCCCGCAGGGCCACCACGATTACTAGCCTGCCACGTCCCTGCGTTTCCGCCTTGCCCATCGCGATCCCGCCGACTCCCCCGATCCTCGAACATTTTCACGTTCGGCTTACGATTGGGGCCTGGTGGGCTTGGTTTCTTGTGTTCAGGCGGCTGGCGTTCGAGAGCCACACGTGCTTCCTCAGGTGTTGAGAAGGTGACGACGTGGTTAAATTTACCCCATTTCTCCACCTTTAGGATCTTGGACTTGTCTTCCTCGGGGAATAGGTCACGGATCGCTTGTTCAGAGTCGACGTTGGAAATAAAGAGGCCACTGCTTGGTTTGCGCTCAGTAGGTCCGGTGCTAGTTCTTGAATCCGTCCGCTCGCCGAGGACGGTGCCGTTGGACTCGTTGGCCTTGTCTGTCGCGGTGGGAACGTTGACCTGAGCACCCACGGGCTGAGACGTGGCGGGTTTAGCTTTGTTGTTTGGGATTACCGGGGCTGGTGATACGGTGGTTTTAGGAGGAAGTGGTCCCGCGGGCTTGTTTTGAGATGGAACCTGGTTTTGCTGTTGATACGTGGGTACTGTGGTGCGGTTTGGGACTGGAGCTTGACCAAATTGGGAAACTCCGCCAGCGGATCTCGGTTGGGCCCCAGATGGAGCACTAGGGGCAGCGCCAGACGCACCGGGGGCGCCTGGAAGACCCGACAGAGCGACAGGTTGTTGAGTTATAGGCGCAGAGCTCGTTGATGGCTTCCCAGCACGATGAGCGAAGTTGAAGCCCTGAGCACGCATTTCTGTTCCGATTCGTCCACCCTCAATTTCCAGAACAAGGTATCCGAAAGCGGCATCTGCCAGATTGAAATTCCACATATTCTTGAACGCACTCTCGTCGACTTGGCCACCAGCGTTGCTTGCCGCAACAGGGCCTCCAAAAGGATTGCCACCATTCGCAATTGTTGGCATCTTCTCGACGATACTTAACGCATTGTCTAGTAAGGTTCTCTGAGCCTCGTTGGCATTAATAGCGGCCTCGACTTCACCCTTAACCGTGTCCCACACATCATTAAAAGAGGCCTTGGAAGCCGCCAGCTTGCCACGATAATGATCCAGAGTAGGATTGACGCTAAACTCGTTATATGAACTCCCGTATCTAAAATGTAACCCGGCCGAGATCGAAAAATCAGCCTTGAGAGTAACAGAGAGTTGGTTCAACATGCCCTCACGAGCCGGGGAAGCATGCGTGACGAAAACGCGTGTCTCTGACGGATCGTAGACGCGATTAGCAGTATCGACCAATTCACCCATCTGCAATAGCGTTGTCCACATCGTTCCCTGCCCGCCTGCAATCGTCGTCTTTCCTTCTCCATTGTCGAACAGTTTATGCATAACAACCGCACCCCCAAGACCCAGCAGGCGCAGTTTCACTCCACCGATATCTAGTAGTCTCGAGCTAGATTCATCGATAATATGTAGCTTGTCCACTTTATATTCACCAGATCGAAACTTCTCCAGCACCCGAACATCCTCACAAGCACCCCAGACTGTATATACGGGAACATCGAGGGTCAATTGCTTGTTGAGCAGCAGAGGGAGTTCGGAGAGGGGGAGCTGTTCAGGGCTGAAACGTTGTTTGATGGATTGTTGGGGAGGAACTTGGGAGATGCTTCTCTTGATTGCCTCTGGAAGAAGGGGAGAATATTGCACGACGTGTTTCAAGGTCCTGTATGAAAAAAGCACCAGTGGCGAAGAGCCATAGCATTAGATATAATGCTAATATAGCGTAGTTTGGAACTTTCCGGCGCAGTAAAAAGAGTGGTAATCAAAGTGAATGACATACTTATCAGCAATTCTCTCTAGAGAGCTATCATCATAAAAGCCAAAGTCACCTGTATGGATAATATGATCCGCGCGAGCCTGCCTAGCAAGTTCATTGAGAGACTTCAAGTTTCCTGTTCATTGTTTAAAAGCAGAGCAATCAGCGCATGTTGCCAACACAACACATTGCATATATGAAGCGCACTGCCTCACAGCAGCAAACAAACGTAATATATCCCATACCTCTTACATCTGCAACGCAAAGCACTCGCACACCGCCAGTCTGGATAACTCTGCCATTATTCGGGAGCAACGCAGTGGCTCCTGGGGTCGGGCCGCTCGTGGAGCCGTTGGAAAGATTATAACCAGGGTTGTTAAATGCGTGGGCGGGACGTGGCTATAGGGCGTCGAAGTAAGATGGTTAGGTGAGTCTGCGAATGAGGGTTTGTTCTATGAGTGAGTCCGGGCAAACTTACTGAAGCCATGGATGGAGGGGTTTGTAAATAGAAAGACCTTGTTTTGTTAAACTGGAGGAGGAAAAATCAAGCCTTTTTATGTCTGTGGTTTTTCGGTCTTGCTTCTTTGATTGTCAGATGATCTACCGTTCAAAGAGATGTGGCGTTTTTTTTTACCGTGTTGTGGATGTTCATCAAACTTACACGTAGGAAATGAATAAACTAAACAAGAAAAAAAAAAAGGGAACACACGTCAAAGATAAAAAAGCTCGACAGGTATAGTTTGGAGAATGTGTTAGGATTTGGGTTTGGTCAGAATACAACCAAATATAAAACGTGGAAGCTTTTTTTTTTTTTTTTTTTTTTTTTTTTTTTGGCTGGGTATGGGGTATTTTGAAAAAGATGAGATTTAAAATAAAAACAGAAGAACAAGGGATATTGTGGTACAAAGTGAGGCAGACAGCAAAACCAGGGAACGGCGGGGGAATTTTTGTTAAGTATGGAATGGGATATTAGAGATGGAGATGTGAGCCGGAACCGGAACCGGAACCGGAGAATAAAGGAACGAGGAAGTGTGTTATGGATATAACCCGGAGAAGAATTGCGGGGGTTGAGATGCAGAGAGAGAGGAGAGAAAGAGATGGCGGAGGCGTAGAGAGAGTTAAGCTGGGATGAGTTGGGGAGAGCTGGGGATGAACTTTGTGAAGTAGAGATGGAGGTCGAAAGAGAGCAGAGAGACGGTCGGTATTGGCGATGAGGATGCACCTGAGCACCCAGGGCTGCTGCTTCGGGAAAAGCGCAGAGTCACGTGTTGTACTCGGGGTTATGTCAGCAATGCGCTGGGCGGGAATTCGCTCGGCCCCCTTTTTGCGCAGAGACATCGCTAATAGGAATCTCTAACATAGCTGAAGTATAGACCTACAATTGGATCGCTCTAATTCGACGTTCTACAGACCCTAGCCAAGCCTGGACTGATAGCTGGGAGCCCATACATGCTTAGGGCTGCATCTCAACGGATCCTTAGATCGATGATTTCTCTCTGCATGCAGCTGCTGGGATATTAGGGAGACCAGCCACTAGTATGACTACACTTCTGCTATAATAGTATGTATCTACAAGGAGAGATGTGGATATATATTAATAAAAAAAAGATAGACATGTATCCCATAGACTCAATTTTTTAATGTAATATATACATACCTAGGAACCTCAATAACTTATATAAACATAAACCCTAATCCCTTCATCAAATCAACACCCAACCCAGATATCAACAACATCCCCTCAGAGTCGCCACGACACGAAATTGACACTTGCATCCCAATGTCAATATTAAAGAATATCCCACAGATAGAAAACAACACAAAACAACCCCACGTGTGCCAATGAATAACGACTTGTGTCCTGTTTTGCCCCTTGTTTTGCCCTTTTCCATTTTCCCTGGTTGTTGAATATACAATCATGACATAAAAAATAACATAATCAGCTAGTCAATCAAGCAGAATGCAATGGCCACGAAAATTAGACTGATTCAAACAGCTACAGAAAATGATATCAGGCCATCACAAAAACGTACGGGGAATCGCCACGGTAGATGTTGACACGTATGATAAAAAGTAAATGAAGAAAAATGAAAACTGTGAAGAATTTAGATCAAAAATGGAAGTAAAAAATAAAACACTGGGAAATATATCAAGAGAGGAATGACGAATTGATTTTTTTTTTTTTTTTTTTTGGCTCTCTTTCTCTCACTATCTATCTTTTTCATTTTTTATTGTTTTCCTTGGGATTATTTGTTGACAGATAGTAGCTAGATCTATGAGATCATGTCAAAGTCTCTCTATTCCGCCCGCGACATAATCGCCTCCACATCATCCTGTTTAACCACAACGCCGCCTTCAGAACAGCGAGCTTTTGTCCGCAGCTCGCTACACAGGCTATCCACGTCGATTTCACCGTTGCGGAATTTCTCCATGGATTGTAGTCGGTCCCTATAATAATAATTAAGTTAGCAGGTTGAAACGAATTGTTTCCCTTTTTATATTAGTAACTTAGCAAAAAAAAAAAAAAAAAAAAAAAAACTAAACATAGCGTACCATATCTTCGTACACGAGAGCATCTGCGAGCGGTCCTCACCAGGAACTACCTCCTCGTCATCATCAGCTTCGAGAGCGCTGTCAATTTGCTTGAGGAGGTCGGGCTTTGGCGGCACGTTGTTGACATAACTGTTGTTCGTATGGTTGTTACTCAGCTCACTAAATGCAAGCAGCGGACTTCCCAGGTCAGGAAGCGGGAAGGCCTCGTTGAAAAAGGTCCCGAAGTCTTGCGAGAGCACGGCATCCTGTGGATCGCGATAGTCACCGAACAACACAGGGTCGAATTGCCCGCCGTTTTGCTGCACGAGCCAGTCGAATCCTAGCAGGGTGTCTGAAGCATTGATGGTGGTATCGTTATAATTGTTGCTGTTATTGCCGTTGCTGTTGTTATTGCTGTTATCTTTGTTGTGATCTGGAAAATTGTACGGAGGATTAGAATCAGTCATGGAAGCCGGAAGTGGATTCTCCGCGCAACCACAGGCCCAGCCTAGTTTTTCGTAGAAGGATTTCTCACCTTCTCCCGTGCTGCGTGCAGAGTTTAGTTCATTATCGATCGTGTTTGTTAATCCGGATTCACTCAATTTGCCACTTGGAGGTGAGTGCAGACTCGGTTCTGGTGATGTGCCCATTGAAGAAACGTGGCAGGGTTGTGATTCTGAAGAGGCAGATGGTGAGGCGGAATTGGAAACGTTGGAACTTCCATAGTGGTGTTGCGACTGATAATTTGAATAGATTGAGTTTTGACCAGATCCGGAGCCGGAATAAGGTATGCCTGGGTTCTGTATAGGTGAACGACCTGATAAATTGTCATAGTATCGACTGAAACTGTCTATACTAGGGCTGTGGTGATTTCTACCATTGGATTTTCGGTTATCATTTGGAGGCATACTGTTTAGCACCGGTGAGGATTGTGAGGGGCTGCCAAGGATAAATTGCCTTCGTTGTGAGGCGGCAGCTGTGCCTTTGAACGAATTTCCGTGGCTGATATTGGGCGCTCTGTAGTTAAATCCAGCGGAAGGGGGTAACTTGGTAGCCTTAGAATGGTTAGAGACTGGCTGTGAGGGGGAATTATATAAGCGAGCGCCGGGGAGATCACCGAATTTTGGGAACTCGAAGGAGAAATTGTCGCCGTTGTCGCGGGTATTATGTCTGGATCCTGCGCCGCGCATGGTAAAGCCTGATGTTGGCGATACACCATTTCCACCGCTCACCCAGGACAGGCGTTTGCGATATCCCTTCAGTTCTATCTGGAGCTTTTCGACTTGAGCGCGCAGAAGCTTATTTTCGATATTTGTCGACTGTGATACCTTCTCGAGTTCGTCGACTTTATTTTCCAGATCCTTTAGGTGCTTCTCCTTGCGTTCCCGAAAGGCTCTTTGGGCAGCCCGATTTTGCGCCTTACGTTTCTATAACAAGGACAAACAATGGTTAACAAAATAAAAACTTACATGAACCCTTTTAAAGGAACATATGGGTCAAGGAATCGCTGTGATAATAGCATCAAGAATCAAATACCTACCGTTGTAGGTTCCGACGTCAACGGCTTTCGTCCAGGCTTCTTAGCCGTCTTGTCATCAGTCTCTCTTCGTTTCTTGCCGTTTTCCTCCTCATCGTCGTTTCCGTCGATGCTTTTTCTCTTCTCTCTGGGTTCAGCGTCGTCACCTGGAGAGGTTCCCGGAATATCTCCAATTAAATCTCCGATGCCACTAGAGTCGAAATCTACATCAAAATCGAAATCCAGGAAAGGGCTCCCGTCAAAACCCAATTGCCCAGAGTCAAGAGGTTCCTCTGTTGGCGACTCAAGCAAGTCTTGGGCAGAGGTAGTGGCAGTAACTTGCTGAGAGAAGGAGTTGGGGTGAGAGTCCAGTATCTTGGTGGCAGATTGGGAGTTGTGACGAGACGCTTCTTTGGGGACTTTTGTTGTCTTACTCGTGGATGAAAGTGCTGCAAGAAGAAGGTCCTGTTGATCTGGAGAAAGATAAAGGCTTTGTTGGTAGAGAGAACCGAAATCAGACATCGTTAACTTAATCGTACAAAATCCAGGTCAAGTATGGACGTAAGACGGTTCTCTCGACAAATAGATGGGCAAAATTGAAGGAATAGAAAAAATCCGCCGACAAATTTTAGTATCAGTGGGATGCTAATATTTTTATAAAAAAACCAAGAGAGTTGGTGGACAATATCTCTCGGATACCTATGCACCGAACATCCAACACGGCCAACCGAAAATTGGATATTGGTACAGGCAAAGGAGTGGTGGAACGTAATTCAGTAAGCGATGTTAAGGAAGGTTCGAGACCAGGAGATCTAGGAGTTCAGGTTTAGACTGGTTGATAGAGAAGCCCAGACAACTTCCGGGGGGGTTGTAAAATAGAAAGCCTTGTTGAATCGGTTTCCTGGCAAACCAAACAATACTGTTGCAACTCCACCCCAGCTTTCAGTATGTGGACCCGAAGCCTGCACTACAAACGATATGTGTATGTTGACAGCGCGCAGGAGTAACCACAGAGGAAATGTAGCTGTGGTAGTAGTGGCGGAAGGTCCCGTGCAGCATAAGCTGGGACTGTGGGCTGTTTCTCATCCGGTGGGATCTACCAGACAGGAAGAGCCACGAAACGAACAAGGCGTGGGAATTAATTTTAAGAGGCAAAAAGAGCATAAGACAATCCTCAATGGCAGAGAACTGAAGGTGTACAAACGTCTAAGGATCCTTCTTATGCAGCACAGACCAGATGCGGGTATGACGCAAGTGGCAAGGCAAGAGCAGAGAGTAGGGGGCAGCCCAAAGGGAGAAATGAATAATTGACTGAGCTGATAGCAGCTTGCATGTCAAAGAAAGAAGAGGTGAATCTGAAGACAAGAGTAAAGCTACCTAAGGCTACGAATGACAATGAGGAGCAGAAGAATCAACTAGGGGCAGAAGAGGTATGTGGGTGGGATGGAGGTGGAGAGGGAGAGGGTGAGAGGGTGAACAGAAGAGGAAGCGAATCTGATGGAAGGGAAATGGGAATGGAAATGGTTGGGATGGGGCAAGGCAGGGAGGTAGGTAGTCTGGGATTGGAGGAGTAGTTTAAGTGTGGCTTAAGGGAGAAACAGCTTACATCAACCAATAACTGGTCGTTGGTGTCAGGTATCTAAGGACCAAGAGGGAGAAGAAGGGCGTCGTCAGAGAGTGTGAAACAGCGAGGAAGGGTGGAGGTTGTGAGAGGGAGAAGAGAACCAAAGCGGAGGCGGACGAATTGACATGCTGACTGATTACTATCTGACTGATGGAGCATTCCTTGGAGAAAGACACCGAAGAGTCAGCCTCGTATATTCGGAGTCCAGACCGCGGCTCAGGGGGAGGGGGTTCAATAGACGGATGGGTGGGGGGATATGGGGGATTGGGCTGTTCAATTAGTTGAAGCCTTGCTGTTAGAGCGGGGAGTTGAATGGGCCTAGGCTGCAAGGGTGTGGTTTAGGATACAGCATGCTTGATTATAAATCCACCGTGCGAGCCCGCAGGTTTTGATGCAAGGATGTTGATCGCATGCAGATGCTGTTATCAGATCAATTTTAAAAGGTACACGCAGAGTTCTGGAGTTAAACTATCTTGAGGTTCAAAATGCAAAGATTCGCCAGATGCTTTTGGAAATGGATGATGGATGATTGTTCCTATTGGCTTATTTAAAAAGGGGAGGGAATCGCCCGCCCACCCCCACATAAAAATATGCCCACATGTCTCTCTCTCAAATTAGGAGGAGTCATGTCATTACTCCCCATGGAGTCCTTATCCTTCAGGAGCCTCCAATCTTCCCTGGGCCATGGAAACCCGTGGTTGGTTCACGGGATTCCACCTACGTCAGCATACGGCGCTGGCAGCGTCTGACTCGACGGCAGCAGTTCTCAATGTGCCCGCGCTAGAAAGTGGAACTAGCTCCAAATGCCGCAAAAAATTGGCCCGAGTCGCCGACTCCAGCTCTGATCCAAGCCAACCATATTTCCTTCTCTTCAGAGGCGGAGAAAAACAAATTTCTCTAGAGTGCTCGAAGCGTGATATTTACGCCAGTCACATTCACTGCTCCCATTCCCGATTCTTGGGTAGTCTGGGGAAAGGTCGATCTTTACCTTGCCCCGATTGTCGGGGAAGATAGATTCCGGCCCTTAGTTAACTTATAGCCGCCTTATCCCGAGCCACGGTCTCTGCAGATGCAACAGTGCCAGCGTTATCTCCGGCCCCCCATGCACCTGTATCCTATCCTGGTCATACCATATAGAGAAGGTCATGTTCTGTGCCTTTCTTGCTCTTACCTAGGGTGGTTTTTGCCTCTTCCACAACGAATGATGATCTCGATATCATCATGGTTATGAAGTTTACCCACATCCTGTTTCGTGTGATCGATTCCCTTTAAACCCATCAGCAGTAGTCGTATTCGCATAAATACCGCGCGAACAACGAAACAAAAGTTCAAGCCGCAGAGACTAGGTATTTCCGAAGTCGGCAGTTGGTGTAAGAGTTTAACGCGCTTGAATCCAGGTGGGTTTGTGTGACTCGGGCCACACCGTTATATTCTTCGGAATACGAGGTTGTTTGATGCTTCTGTAGGATTTGTTCGAAAAGAACCGAAATCTTTTCGTCATTTCTTTTCTAGTGCATTTGTGCGAGAGCCAGTTAAATTTATTGGCAGTGTGGTTGGCTACTCCCAGGTCGTTTGTCTAGAACTTCTGCTTCATAGTCATTGAGTGGAGAAATATGCATGCTTGCGTGGCATATTGGCGAGGAAGAATTGAAACCCTACCAACCAACCATATTTCCGGCAGACGCGCCTCGCCTCATGAACCCGATTGATAAATGAGAATAAAAAGCTAGATCTGATAAATATAAGCTTGGTTGCATCTGCATCTCCCATCTCTTCCTCGCGAATGTAGCGCGCTTAAATACATGTTATTAATAAAATAAAATAAAAAATAAAAAAAATAAAAAAAAAAGGGGGGGGGGGGGGGGGGGGGAAGAAAGGAGACGTTGATGCGGGATATGGTGTAAATTTTATCTTCGATATAAGTGATGATTTGTTCCCCCTAATCCTAATACCTAATACCCCTCAAAAACCTACCCCTTAACCTTGCTTGTTGTGGCATCGTTTGTCCCTTGGAGTCCTTCTCTGAGAGTACGGGGCACTTGATATCCTATTCTAAATCGCTAACATAATATTTTTGCTAGTTTACAAGCGCTGTGATATTTTGACTGAAAGATCATTACCATCTATATTGTAGAGTATCTCTGGTTATGCTTGCAAGGATGCAGTTTAAGAAAAAGTGTAGCGTTTCAAACAGGTAACAGGTCCCATCGTGTTAAAAGATATCACCTCTGGTTGGGTGGGGACGGGATCTCTCTTCAATTACTCAATAAACAGCAGGCGGGCGAACACAAAGCATTATTATAGGAAAAAAAAAAAAAAATTTCAGGTCGATTTGTGCACAATAAGTGTCCTCTTTCCTTGGCAGGAATGCATGGATGCATGTCTGGTATGACATGTTCACATAACATAAAGTGCACGCCGCACATAACGATGATGATCGTTATTCATGTGTTTCTATGAAGGCGAGGAATTCAAGTACTGTGGCTTAAGGACATTTCTCGTGGGTCGAACAGGACGCCCTGGTTCTGATGGAGGCATCCAAGTATGTATCGCTCGGGTGGATTTGAGCGCAGGGTTTCACTTAAATGATATAGCCGCTTTAACGGATATGGATTTAACGTATTTTCGTTGAAGAATTTAGTTGCTTGGGAGATTAAGCTAGAAAGAAACTTTCCGTTAAGAAAAGATGGCAGCTAGCTTGAAGAGAAGAGAAAAATGAAAGAGAAAATGGAGGGTGAGTTGCCGTTCAATAGAGTGAAGATAGCTGTGCATGCATTCTGCTCTGAAAAGAATATGGTTCAGTCACATGCTGCTTGGTTGTAAATTTTGCCAATTCCTGGATCCTTTCTTCCCCACATAACAGTAATGACCATCTTTAGCATATGACTGGTGTTTTCATGAGGGAAATCCCGCGAAACAATCACCAGGAGGTGAAGGAACAAATATGCCGCTGTATGTTGTTTATGTGCAACCAGATAAGGCCTGCATTTATGTTTTGCCTTTCCCAAGTCATGACAGTCACGATAAATAAGATGTTCAACAAGTGAATTTCTACCAATTGAAACGGACACAAACGTAGAACTTCAAAGACCAGTCTTGAAGCAAGGAAATCACATTTAGTTTCTGCATGGCGGGTATGAATTGAATTATATATGAATAGACAACATGGAACGTGTGATACTGTTTAATGCATTGTGGTGTATTGGCTGCTTCAACATGAGCTCAAGGTGGAGAACGTTCAAAGTTGAGAAGTGGAAAGTTTGTCGTTTTCGGCATGCCGAAGAGTGTAACCCCGGCGCCTACAGCGGTTTTCATCACGTGATACAGAGCTTAACCTTCTCCAGCCTAACCGCCTTAACTAAATCCGAATCAGCTTTTTCCCACCTCATCGTCAGTTTCCCTATAATTTGCAGAACCTTCCAGCCCATTTTATTTTGTATAATTATTGCAGTGCATCTAACCACCTACCCACCGCGAACCTCACGAGAAAAAATGAACGCAGAAGTTGTCGCCTTGGAGGCGGAAGTGAAGGAATTCAAAATACAGGTATATCCTGATCAGTATTCTCCTCACTCCATTTGTCTTGAATTTCCTTGTGGGCGTTTCGGAGATATACTCTACACACAAGTCTAACGATCTTATAGCTTGAAGCTGTACAATCGAGCTTGCAGGTAGATCCAGACAATTCGGAACTGCAGGGCCTGAAGACTGAACTTGAAGAATTCATATCCCTCACGGAGCAATCCATCTCGGAATTGCGGCCTACGCAACCGAAGTCGAAACCCTCCCCTCCTCCTGTCAAAGAGAAATGGTCAAAAGAGAACCACCCAGCATACCAAGCGGGCTACAAAAAGCCTACCGTCGAACCTGCGCCGCCCGAGGAGCCTCAGCCATCACCTCCCGTATCCTTCTCCGTAAACGATAATGTCCTGGCACGGTGGGCATCGGGAGATAATTCATTCTACCCGGCCCGCATTACATCTATTACCGGCTCATCCACGAACCCCATTTATATAGTTTCCTTCAAGTCATACGGAACTACTGAAACTTTGACGGCAAAGGACATCAAACCTATTTCTGACACGCGAAAACGCAAGGCTGATGGCATGCCAGGCACCTCATCCCCGCAGACTGTCCCTGCTAATTCCAGTGTGATTTCTGCAGCGGCTGATATCAATCCTGCCCTGGCCAACCAGGCGCGCAAAGAGCCAAATAAAGTCAGCGACGGACCCCCGCGCCCAGCTAAGCTGCCCCGGAAAGTCAAAGCCACAAGGGAGCTCGAGGCCGGGAAGTCGAAATGGCAGGACTTTGCGGCCAAAAGTAAGATGGGGAAGGCTGGGAAGAAGGAGAGCATGTTTCGCACACCTGAAGGCATCAACGCACGAGGTATGAGCCGCTCCCCTATATCCACCCCCACCCGTCCGCCCCAAATTTTGCACTTTACATATACACTGCCGTGATGTCCCTTTTAAAGGTAGCGTATGTGCTAACTCCGATTTTGTTGCAGTTGGTTTTACCGGTTCTGGTCAACAAATGCGCAAGGATCCTGCGAGAAGTCGACATATCTATCAACAAGCCGAAGACGATTATTGATGAAATCTTTTCTCCACATACTAGCTTCAAGGGGAGTTCGGCGACGCTAGAGGGGAACCCTTTTTTTTTTTTTTTTTTTTTTTTTTTTTTTTTTTTTTTTTTAGGGGCTCTGATTAACTCTTTCTTTTCATCCTTTATTTTCCTTTTCTTCTTCTTTTTTGGAAAATTCTCGTCGCTAACTTCGCATCATGGTCCCGAGCAGATTATTTACTTTTGCTACCAAATATCCAGGGGCAAGGGAGTTACATAAACACACACTTTTTCGGCAGCTTCTTTGTTATTCGAGGGCATTGTATAAAGGGTATTATTCGTGCGTCAGAGATAGATGCACTCTCCCTTTTCTCACTTTCTTCAATTTTATCATACTTTATTTTAATGAATCTATCTGATAAAACGAAGCGGGGCATGTTATTCTAGCCAACTTACACATTTGGAGACTCGCATACTTGGGTGTACCATTCACACACCGGAGCTGCCCGACAGGAGCGGAAATAGGGATCAGGATGAGTAGGTAATTTTTCCCGTTCAAACACAATCTAAATAGATTAAAGAAATGCTTATATCAGCAAAACAAAAATATTTATATCACTTCTCGACCTTTTTATTTCGGAAATATGAGCTTATTTGGTGCACATCTGGAGCCTGGGTGGCCTGGTGAGATATTTAGCCTCACCATAACAAGGGGAAGAAACAATGTCAGCGACACGATATTCTCCGTAGATCAGAGATTCAATTTGAAAAATACTCCCTTTTAGATCTTACTCCCTAAAAGATTCTCCACATGTGTGTCCATGATATAGTCAACCATTTCCTGACCTCCTCTTCCTGCAATTTGATTCCGTTTCATTCTGCCACTTTCACTTCACATCCCCCTCCTTACCCCGCGCCCTCTACATACAGCAATCACCATGGATCAATCTGACCCGAGTCACAAATCACTCACAGAGACCCAGGACTGCGGTATACCCATTGACGTAAGCTCTGCTGAACCGTTAAAAGATACCGCGGAGGAGAAGAAAGCAGAGAGGAAGATACCTTGGATGCATCTAGGCAATCCCAACACACTATCAAACAAATTGCCTGAGTCTTTTATGATGATTGCGACTCCATCCGAGCGTGCGAAATTGAGGTTTAGTATTAGGGGTTCTGCAATATGTAGGTAGTTTCTTTCTCAAATTTATATTTTTTGTGGTTCTTGTTTTTATGGATAATTCAAAGGAATTTCCTTGCTTCGCATCGATTTTGGATACCATCTACCCCATGGATATAGTTCCTACATAGATACATTGGTGGTAGCCCTCAACATTGCTCTCCTTTTGTATATTGTTTTATGCAACATCTTTCTCAAATCTGATAGCCTAAACATTTATGGCTGATTGGCCGGCAATTCCTACACAGGATTTTATTGCGCTTGTTGTATGGATGATAATATGAGTATGGGAATGCATTACCGCCCAAATAAGTATGCTAACAAGGTTCAAGTGACCGGCGGAGCTGGCGCTCTCGCCCTCGCATCTGCCCGTGCTCTCCTCGAACATGGTCTTTCAGGCCTAGGTCTCCTGGATCTTCCAGATTCTTTCAAGAGAGCTGACATCTCCGATGCGATTCATGCTCTCTGCAAAGATTTCCCTTTAGCGACAATCCTCAGCGCAGGCATCGATGTCACAGACGCGGAGAGTGTGCCGAGGGTCGTTGAAAACATGCGATCTCAGCTCGGCCCCCTGAACATCCTGTGCTGCTTTGCGGGCATTGTAAATTGTGTACTTGCGGAGGACATGCCCGCAGACCAATGGAGGAAGGTCCTCAATGTTAACACAACTGGGACATGGCTGGTTACGCAGGCTGTTGGAAAGTAGGTGATAGAAACATCATTGATAACACCCCTTTCCAGCTAAGGTCCATTTTGGTTAACCACCACCCAGACACATGATATCTGACTCCGCCGGCGGCCGTATTGTCCTAATATCCTCCATCAGCGGTCATCGTGTAAACTTCCCGCAGCCCCAAGTTGCCTATAACGTCTCCAAAGCTGGAATATTGCACATGCGCGCCTCTCTTGCAGCCGAATGGGGCCGGTATGGAATCCGTGTTAACTCCATCTCGCCCGGATACATGGACACGGTGCTCAATGCCGGTGATTCGCTGGCGCCGTTCCGCCAGGTCTGGGCGGATAGGAATCCGATGGGGAGAATGGGAGACCCGCAAGAGTTGACGGGAGCTGTGGTGTTTTTGTGTAGTGAGGTTGCGGGTAGTTATGTGAATGGAGCAGATATTGTCGTTGATGGTGAGTTCAGATGAGTTTTCGAGCCACTCTTATTTTATTTCTTCCATTCTTCTTTTATGATCCCTTCACACTTGTTGAAATTCTGAAAAAAAAAAAAAAAAGGCAGGGGGCTGGTTGAGTATGGGATATATTTCTTTTTTGCTAATAAATATTTTGTATTAACTAGGTGGAGGTTTGGTCTTCTAAGTTTCGATAGGGAGCATTGTTAAATATCGGGTAAGATAACCTCATGAGGGACTTATCGTCATCCTCAAGTCCCATCTTTCCACCACCCTTCGAGGTCGAAAGAAACACGCGAAGAAAATGGATATTGTTGGATTTGGGCCGCTCTGTTATATAAACTTATATAGTCCTTATTATATTGGTAGCACATATGACTTCAGAGAAGGCAGTGGCGACAAAACCATGACACAGGAAGGAAAAGAAGAATATATCATTTCCCATTTCTAAACTCTTAATTCCTAAATAGCTTGAGGCCACTCTCCTCAAGATGATCATCTTCATCCTCCATAACCTTATCCTCATCGTCATCATCACCCAGAATCTCCCGTGCATTTCTTCCCAACAACGAAGCGAAGAACTCCTCTCGAGCTCGATCACTCCAAGAACCACGATACTCCGGAGCCATGAAATTCTGTAATTTTTCATGGACCGTATACCGCATCTTACGGCCTTTGGAAGCCTTAGTATCCACGGCTCTTTTAACCTTATCCTTGCGCATTCCGGTTGTAGGATGTATATTAAGACGCGTAGGAAAGTTCTATCTGCAAAGCTTCAACGCCATTGTTAGTGGCTGACATGCGTTCCTCAACAAGGTCGCGAAGCAGAGTTTGGTAGAACATAGTATCATCATAGAATTCGTTAGAGGTGTGAGGGTCGGATGAACCATTTGTTTGAGATTGTCCGGAATTTTCCGTCATGGCACGTTTGGATTGACGACTTTCAATCTCCGCTGCTACATGTGCATCCAGCACAGCAGTTATTGTTTGTTGGTCGGCCGCTCCATGATTTAATAGTTTGCCTCTGGCATTTGGTAGTGTCGCTCGCGAGCCACGCGTCTTGAGAGCCCATTTATCAAGGACGGCACGACGGTGAGGGCGCGCTTCAGCTTCAAGCTCCTCCATGCAATTCCATATATCTGCAGAAGAAGTGGAAGGGGTTGGAGGCGGGCCACGTTTTCTTTTTTTCGAAAAGGTAGCGTTGTTAGTCTGGGCGTCTGCGAGTGCATGACGAAGATCTTCGATTGTTCTCCAAAGGGCTAGAGCAGCAGCCTCAGCGGCTTTGATAGAGGCTTGGTCCGTTGCATTGTCATGTTCGTTTGAAGGAGCTAGGCTGGTAAGAGCCGTAATGCCTCTTTGAAGTTTAATTCGGGCATTTAACATGGCTTCGAAAGTCAAACGTTGTCGCTTGATGGCGTTTCCCTTTGCAGCATCCGCCTTGGCGGCATTGGATAGAGACAGGGCAACAGTTTTGTGGTCTGAAGCCATTAGTCGTCTTATCTCTGCTCTGTCATCTGTTGGGACAATCGCTTGTCTATCATCGTCATCTTCATCCTCATCCTCGGAATTATCGCTCCCGGAATCATCTTCGTCGCTATCCTCCTCTTCACCCTCGTCAAAACCTCTGAATTCTCCATCTTCTTCAGGATCAGTTCGTCCATCTAACTCTTCCTCAGACCCCAGGTCATTATACAGATCGTCAGAATGAATCTCCAAGTCTAAGTGCTTCGTCGTTTTGCTGAAACGGGAAGTTGAATCCTTCAAATGAACAACGTGGTTTTCCCCAAGAGCCTCATCGCTATCATTTTCTCCCGCGGAACCATCTTCCCTGGTCTCCAGACCATTTTCCAATTCGTCTAGCTCCCCGGATATCTCGTCTGAATCGTCTTCACTTGAAGCTCTGCGGAATCGATCGTCTTCGCCGTCATCCCACTCAAGCGCCTCTCGGCTAACTCGGGATCCTGCGTATTCACGTCCGAGGTATGGCTTTTCCGGTTTACGGAGCTTACTCTTCCTGTTGGAGAGTTAGACAGATTTATTCGTGCGAACATTATGGATGTAAAAAGAGATACGCACCCAACAGCTACATAGTGCTCTCGAGCAGCAGCGGCATTATCATCCTCCGCCCCAGAAGACTGATCTTCGCTGCTTTCCCCATTGTCATTCAAATTCTCAGGATCAAAATCTATATAACTCAGTTAGTTGCAACCGGAGATCGTAGGTAGCTGTGCATCGGATTGTAGGTTCACCTCTGAAAGTTGGGTTTTCTAGCTCAGCAATCTGCTCTGCTAAGGATTTGACTTGTCCATGCTTCTTCAACATGGTGGCTGCCTTTCGTTGCAAGCCTTCGCAGCGTGGCAGTGGAGCAGGAGTTTGGTGCTTCTCTCTGTATATTTTTGTAGATTTGTCTTGATGCGAAATTTTCCTCGTTCGGTTAAATTTTGCCTTTTGATCCGCTTCTCATTGCCGAGTCACATGACCAAACATCGAATTCGACCTCTTCAGCTCTCAAGGGACTCTTCATCTTGACAACGTTGATGACAGAAAGCTGAGTTGGGTGATATTTCGCAATGTGAACACTAGTGTTTACCATATTGGGATCAGTTCTCTTGCGCCAATATGCGGCGCAGCTTGTTTTCTACCCTGCGGCCGCTTCACTACGACAATCCACTGGTACGTACATATATCAATCCTTCTGCGACTCACTACACAGAGCTAAGATGCTGATTCCAGGGCCTGCCCCGTTCTGGAACGCCACCATCATTCCCTCGTCGACGAGGTCTTCCAGAGAAAAGGAAAATTCAAGATGTCAATAAAGTGGTTGCTGTCTCTTCGGCCAAGGGCGGGGTTGGGAAATCTACAATTGCTGGTATGCGCCTCCGACTTCCTTACCGTGCGGTGGAGATGATGGCCTTTCTCGCATGAGTGGCCATTGGCTAACTACTATGTTAATTCACAGTGAATCTTGCTCTTGCAATGGCCCGTCGAGGTATTCGAGCCGGCATTCTCGACACAGACATTTTTGGCCCCTCCATACCAACTCTCCTAAACCTCTCTGGAGAACCTCGCCTTGACCAAAGTATGGGATATGAGCCATCACGTTTGAAACAATTGAAAATCTGGCCTAAGATCGACTATCTAATTTCTTTCCCAACGTAGATAACTGCCTCATACCTTTGACAAACTACGGCCTTAAATCCATGTCCATGGGATACCTCCTCCCAGCTCCACCTGCCGATTCCAAACACCTTACCGATGATCCAACCTCACCTATAATGGATACAACACCCATATCCTGGCGTGGCTTAATGGTTACGAAAGCAATGCACCAACTATTACACTCGGTATCATGGGGGCCCCTCGATATTCTTATCCTAGACTTACCTCCAGGAACGGGTGACGTACAACTCACAATTGGCCAGGAAATAATTCTTGACGGAGCGGTGATTGTGTCAACGCCCCAAGATATCGCTCTGCGTGACGCAGTCCGAGGTTTTGGTTTGTTCGAAAAATTAAATGTCCCAGTGCTCGGCATGGTGAGAAATATGGCGTATTTTGCCTGTCCACATTGTGGCAAGGAAACGAAGATATTTTCTGGGAGAGGCTCTCAGCCATCTGAAATTGAGTTGGAGGCTGGACATCCTGAGTCACATAACGGTGGGGGCGTTTTAACAGCGTGTAAACGACTGGGTATAGATTTCCTGGGCGACATCCCTCTTGATGCGCGCGTGTGTGAAGATGCGGACAGGGGGGTTCCAACCGTTGTGGCTGAGGAAAGCGATGAGCGCAGTACTAGGAGAAATGCTTTTATGAAAGTTGCGGAGCAAGTTGTGCGCAAAGTCGGATTAGAATGACGGTAACGCAAGCCAGCAGTTCTTGATTAAAGAGTCTTTGGTGATCTTTATTATATCTTGATGTGGTACTCTGAATGCAGTGTCAAAAGGAGTTCCTGGTCAACGCCTATTATAAGCCAAATTCTCGTTTTATATATAAATTTGGATATGTAGGTACCCGTCCAATCGTCCCACCCAATTGAGAGTATAGGTCTAATCAATCATCAAAAGCCGTCCTAACGACACACGAAAAATGCATGAAAATGGTGGACTAAATAAAATTACCATTCGGAACATGAAGTCTAGCAGCTTCCCAACCTCCACAGCTTGGGGGAAAACTGAACCCAAAAAATACAATGTCTCCCCAATTGCTAATCAATTATTGAGCCTGGTCTCCCGAGAAATCGTACTCCGTTCTATACAATTGAATAAATTCTTGCGTTATTGAGCTGAACCCTGTGAGGGGAATTTTCCACAATTGAAGGGGGAACTCGGTAAGATATTCAAAATCACACATTAGGTTTTCCATTCTCTTCCAAAAAAGGCCGTACCTTTGGTTCACTCACACTTGCAACGCGACCAATCCCTTCCTTGCATTTTTCAAGAAGCTGGCTGTGATCAACAACTCGTCGAAAAGCATGACCTTCCTTTCTGGTTTGACTGCCGCCGCTATCCTGTATGCCATTCTGGATGGGAATAATTGAGGCACTGGATGCGGTACCATTTGGGGACTTCTGTTCAAACGGATTTTTGGAATTTGTATCCGGTCGTTCAGCAGTGGGGATGGGAGAGATGAACCCTTTCCCATCCTTTACGGCGCTTGCGTCATCTGTGTATTCTGGTGAAGACTGTCCCGCAGCTCCAGAGTCGTCCATAAACTTAGAAGAATGGTCAGCGAATCCTGGCTGGGATTCAATGGGCTGTATCACCAGTGGCTGGCCAGAAGGGTCAGCGTTGGCATCTGGTAACCCCGTTGATTAGAAGTTCCGGCGTTCTGACCCTGGGTAAAGCACAAGGACTGGAATAGATTCAGTAGCTTGGCCAAGATCCATTACGGTTTGCTGGAAGATGGCGTTTCTCCGTTTCCGTTTCATGTGGCAGTAATTTCTTCCGGAGAGAAGACCTAACAGAAGGTCGTCTGCCCTCCTGGTACGCCATCCCCATCATAATTTTTTCGTTCTCCATGGTCTTCGTGTCATATTTGGATGATAGAAGACTCCAGAACCACATCGCGTGGTTCTTCTTGTGTTCCTGTTCTTCATATGCTACAGAAATATCCTTCCTTGATGCCAATGCGCATGGTGGGGGGAATTCTCCAAGCCGAAATACACCAATCCTCTGCATAATCTCCTCGAGCCTCTGTTGCTGACAGGCTGATTTTTCCTTCGAAAAGGCTCTATCCCACGCCTCCTTGGCTCTCAGCCATTTCCGGACTGGTCCCGGTTTAGGGATGCCAATATCTTCAGGAGTTATATGCAATGCGGTAAGATAAGCTTTTGCTGCCAAGGGATATATGTTGCCATCTATATCAACCCGTTGGCGGATCATGTAGTCCTGGAAAGGCGGGAGAGGATCGCCAGCCTTTCCAATCTTGGTGAAACCCGAGTATGGACTGGGTGACATGCGGCCTTGTGTCGCCGAATATGGAGTGTCAACATCTCTGGACGAAATTTCCGATACCTGGTTAGGAATTTCGACTCCTGTCTGCTGGGCTCGAGCCAGTGCCCAAGCGCCGAATTGGGCTATTGATCGAAACATATACTTGGCTGGCTGTGTGAAACTGAGGGTAGGGGCCACATGGCAAACATCATCCCATACTTGGAGCTGAACGAATGTTGGTGGATATCCATTGACAGCATTGCGGTGTGGGTCGTGAACGTTAAGATATTCCTCGCTTGGTAGGAAGGAATGTGGATCGGTAGCTTTGTGAGCCAGGTAAATCTGTTCATCACGAAGCAGCTCCGAGCCTCCTGAAAGGACAAACATTGGCGGTAAGCCACCCAGGGAAGGCTGAAGAACAGGAGAAACAAGTGGATGGGATAGCAACTCGTTTGTGGTGTACATGTGGATCTGGTCTTTTATTTCAACGACTTTCCCGTCGATCTCGATCTCCAAGCAGCTGGCTTGATTAGGGAATATATCATAATTCTCACTAACTGAAGAGAACGATCGACGTCCCATTGAACTTTTCCAACTACGTACAGATGGCGCGTGTCCAGGGGACCGCCGGACAGAAGTTTGGCTGTCCTCAATCCTATTTGGAGTAGCGCTTGAAGCAGGCAAGTGCCGTTTTGCTCGGGCAGTTCGTTCAACTCTCACGATTTCATCCAGCTCATCCGCGCTAGGGGGAGGCCATGACTTAGATGGGCGGTGCATGAAACCGTAAGGGGGAATGTAGTCCCCGTCCCCATTCCCGGACACCGATGGGAAGGAATGCGTTAAGTCAACCCAAGGAGAGATTAGTATTGCTCCGGCGGGTAACGGCAGTCTTTGGTCGCGTATTGTAACCAAAACGCTAGATGAGATATCAGACATTCAATGTTCCGGATCGCATACGATAGGATAGGATACTTACGACAGGGCCATTCCAGCCCCTGCAGAGTCACCAGCTATTATAATTTCAGAAGACTTGTATCTGCTTAGCAGATAAAGATATGTTGCGAGGCAATCATGCAGCCCGCAAGGGAAAGGGAACTGTGGAGCTAGCCGGTATGCCGCTATTCACGGTTATAATTTGCTGGATTATGTGACTTTGCTTACAGCTTAGGTATAAGGTGGTAATAGACTTACTGCATACCACTGATTAGACCTTCTTTGCCGTCCTGATGGACAAAATATGAAAGCACGGAAATGCAAGGACTTACCGAGCAAAAACTCTAGCCCTCAGTTTCCTTGCATGTCTCTGTATCTGATATCGATGGGAATTCAAGCTGCCAAAATAGTATGCTCCTCCATGAATGTAGAGCATTATTCGATTGCAATGAGTACCCTGCCGCTGCCGGGCTGCTAAATCACGCACCGTCTCTATCCACTCCCCTTGGAGAGTGCGTTTACTCCCGCGCCACTGCCACCACTTGCTGCCCCCAACCCGCGACAGGCCGTCTGGTCCCAATTGGATAATAAGGAGGTCGGCTGCCGCTGCGACATGATCCTCGGGAATTACAACTGCATCAACGTTTATCCATCTGGGGTAAGGAACCCTCTGCGATGTAAACGACTGCAGGTCTTCAACGGTATGGAGAGAAGAGTAATAGAGAAAGCGACGAACGATATCCAGGCCTTCGTGATAAGAAATGCGTGCGGCATGTTTCTTTCGATAGGCTTTGCGATTTGTATACTAGTTTGGGCTTTAGTTCCAAAGTTCGGGTAAAACTACGTTCTGGGGTTCGTATTTACATGAGAGAGTAGTGTCGAAAGGACAGTGGGTGCCACCGCAGCACCAACGGTCAACGCATTGAAAGGCATCCTCTCTGCCTCCAATGGAAACTGTATGGAGTTTTGATGTAGTTTCAATCGAGACTGGCGATAAAAAGATATCAAGGTCTTTTGGCACGAAGAGCCACTTTGTTCCAAAGGGGAGGATGTCGATGATGTCACCCCTTTCAGAGCTAGTTAACTTAACCGAGGCGAAGCAGCATTAGTTAATCCGACAGTGGCACGTGATAACTAGTAACTAATGGGCATGGCTGACATAATCCAATAACTTCAACCCCCCGGGGTGAGCCTCATGCCAAGTTGTGGGAAGATGAGATCGATCCACTTGAATGAATACGTTTCATGCTACCTTCGAATAATGCAGTGGATCCATTATCTTGCCAATTGTGTATACCTTACTCTGTTCTGGTGTTCTCTGTTTCTGATCAATGATGAGAAGAAGACATCTAGTGAAACAGGCTGGGCTCCGTGGGCCGAATGATAGAGATTTTGCCCAAAGGCTGAGAGAATGGGAACCGACCGACCCTTCATTAAACACCGCTCAATGATTGAGGCCGCGCGATATCGAGAACATGGCAAATTATTACTGGGTTGGCCCACAAAATACGAGTCCAGACTTGTGGAATTGCGACTTTTGAGATGCACGATCACGGAGCCGTAACTACAAGCAGATTTGATAGTAGGTATGTTTCGGCTATCAACTTCTTGAACACGAGGTTTGAGGTCTGTTAGTTACATGAAGGATGTGAGGTAGATTCTTAAATTGACGGTTTGTTTACAAATTCTTTTGATCGTATCCCGTTCCCTTTCTAACTCCAACCACATTTCATGGGACAGTAAAAACTTGCCCATGACCTTGGAAGTATCCCATCCCGACACGTCATAAAAGTAGAGCTGTTTGGCTGAGCCAACTAACTATCAGTAAATCAAGTCTCTCCGAGCGATCGTGCCGATGTGAGATCGATAATAACCTTGAAGCAAACTCACCTTGCTTGCCGGAAACCTTGGCTCTTCATCAGGTCCATCTCAACCGGTGCTCCGTAAAATGCCCTCTTTCGTGGCGTTCCAATTGATTCTATTCTCCAAGACCTGGACCTTAACTAGTTACCAAGAGACCGCCCCTCAGTTGTGAAAACTTAAGCAGATCCTGATTCCAATCCCCCATCAGATTACCTGCCTCCAACTTCCTCCAACCTTATCTGCACAGCGAGACTTGTGTCCGATCGAAATCTTGAACTTTCACTCTAGTTTCCTGCGCCATGCGTTGATACCACAAGTTTGTTAGCCAATCAAGGCGGAGCATTTTTAGCGTGGCTTGGGTCTTAACGATCTTAACGACTGTTAAAAAGAACGGAGTTTTATTTTATTTTATTTTATTTTTTTTGGCACTTCATCGTGAAGGCCAACGCTGCCGGGCTGGGGTTGGCCCGCAGGGTGTCAATGCATCTTCGACGATCGAATCATCATTCAGAACAACCGCCACTTACACAGAGACATGGAAACTTTGCAAACCGTGGCTGACTATGCTGTGCAAACACCGCCGACGCGACGCCACTTAAACTTGATGTCTGAGACTTCATGGATTGCGTCGGAAACAACGAATTGCACTTCATCTAGTTACTCTTGAATGATGGGGTGCCACTTTCTAGGTTTCTTTTTCTCCTGGAACCCAATAATTGAAAACCATGTGTTTTCGCTCGCTTGATCATTGTCGCCGATTTGCCTGCTCCCGGGTTGCTTTCGCGCTATCTTTTTAAATGCGTGGATTGAATTTTGGGGTAGTAACGGTTAAATAATCAATGTTAGCTGAGCGAATGGCCAAGCACGTATCTTTAATTTCCCTAATACCAAAAAAAGGCCTCTTTCTCAGACGCAAAACTCAATATACCCTGCACGTCGAATTCTGCTCTACAATGGCTGAGCTATGGGATTGAGCTGAATGCAATGCAAGTGCTTGAGCAAAGCTCAATTGGGTGACTTTCTATGCCGCTTCTCGTTGTAGGATAGAAAGAGCAATTTCGGCAACCAAGCAGAATTCTGGCTACCAGTCATATCAGATCAAAAATGTTGGGGGCGGGAACACTGGGCAGCGGCAGCTACCTAACCAAGAGTACGAAGTGTGATGCATCCAGTTCATCCAATCCAACTTTCCATTTCCTTTGCTTGTTCGTTCCATTGGCGAAACGGCGGCCCAAAATTGATTGGGAAAACGAGGCAGGGCAGAGAAAAAGCCACGTTCCTGGCTACAGCTAGCTTCTATCGTAAACCCGTAACTGAAGAGCAGATGGTAACTCAGAGGATACGCTACTACTTAAAAGAAGGCAGCTCACCCATTTCTCTTCTCTCGTAGTAGACTGCAGTGTTTTAGGCAAGATCTAAGCATTGAATACACTCAGGGCTCAGAATTCTACAAAAAACCTCACTTCGTTATTGTGAAAGCATTATGAAGTCACTTTTTCTGGCCGGGCTACTGAGCCTTGTGGGGCTCTCCACCCAGCAAACCCCGGAGTCAGTCAATATTCAAAACAGTCCAAATTTCGTACCAAAGAACATCCTTCCAATCCCGATACCAAGGCCACGCATCCCAAAAGTCCTGAATGGGAAATGTGAAGATGGTATCTGTCATCCCGGTTATAAATGCGCTGGCCTTACTCCGCGTTCCGGAGGTCTCTGCTTGCTAGACCTCAAGGCCCCCAAATGCTACGATATCGGAGGTATGTATGTACAGTAGCTACATATAAATAAATACCTAGGCATCCTGAAACAACACAATGTGCAGGTATAGCCAAAGAGCCAGAGAAAAACGAGCTAATGGAATCCTCATATAGCGCGATGCATTGATGCCTCCGATTGCTGTGAATCCTTCGGCTTATGCGCGCCACTCCCTGCTGATCCGACCGGCAAAAAGGTGTGTCAGGAGGACCCGTGTCGCAACCCGACTCTTCTCGTCGAGACATGGAGATCGTTGGCCTGGAGTGGGGGAGGTACATGGTCCTCTCACGGTGTTACCGACAGGTCCGGCTGCTGCCGAGCTTGTTTCAACACTGAGGGCTGCAACTTGTGGTTCCAGTTTTCTGGAGGCTCTTGTCAATTGCTGTCAAACTATGGTGGGGCCGAGCCAACCGATAAATGCCCGCATGGATTGTGGGGTCGTGTTTCGATCGGTAGTGGTGGTACAGGCGGGCCTGTCGGCGCAGGGCCTTGTCTTAACCCGGGTGAAGTCTTGGTTTCTTAGCAAATCATCTTAGGATCTGCCATATATTTCCTCAAAAGTTGTTAGCAACCGGGAATTGCATTCTGTGCACTCTGTTCACACGGCCATAGACAGACATTTCTTTGGAACCTAATTTTATTCTATGCATGGCGACCTCCAGCCGTCGCAAGGGTGAAAATATCTATATCTATATCTATATATGTATATATATATATATATAGATATATTTCATATATTGGGCTCCGAGCTTCGGCATAGTTTCCAGCATAAATAAAGTGGAAGGCCAATGCTTCAGTTACGGTGAAGTTGTTCGATTAAACCAGCTAATTGTCTCCAACTCACTGGGATCACCCGTCAGGTGACTTGGTTAGAGCAGCGATCACACTAGTCCCGAATGGGAGTCTGTCTCTTGGTAATCTCTCCACCACCAAAAAACCTTACAAAAAAAATTGTTGTAGTTGGAACTATATAAACTCCCATACCAAATATTTACTTTCCTCCTGAGACAGGGCACACTGCAACGATACCCTGCACTCTCTCCTCTTTTTAATGATATCTTGAAGCACTTCTGAGTCCTCTTCTGCACTTTCTCCTTTCCACAGTTAGTCATCAAAAACAGGGGCGGAAAACAGTAAAAACTGCACTCAATCACCCTTCCTTATTCCGACGGACACTTCTCGTCGATCCCGCACCAAACATAATGGCCACCACTGCCACCCTTTCCACACAACAGCCATCCGAAAAGCAACAAGAGCAAGCAGTGAGCAAAGACGCCTCCGCTCAATTTGACCTCGGCATAACCCTCATCCTCAACTCCTGGCCAGCCCTCAACCTCGCCGTGCACAATAACTGGGGCGGCCCCGCATCCGGCGACAAGCGCGACTGGCTCTGCGGTGCTATCTCAGACCTCTTTGTTGACCGGCCAGAGACCGATGCGGAGGATGTGGAGGATGTCCTGATACAAGTTATGAATGATGAGTTTGATGTTGTGGTTGAGGATGAGAGTGCAGGGGAGGTAGCGAGGAGGATTATGGAGGTTAGAGCTGAGACAGGGAGGGGGGAGTTTGGGCGGGTGACGAGGATGTGGGAGGAGTGGAAGGGGAAAAGAGGTGCGAGTGCGGATGCGGATGCGGATGCGAGTATTGGGGCTTTCAGGAAGGTGGAGGTGAATGGGGATGAAGATGACGACGATGACGACGATGATATTGTGGATTGGGCAGATGATGTTGAAATGGAGGATGCATCAACGGCGCCAATGGAGGTGTCGAAGATTGAGCCTCCAAAGGAGACAAAGAAGGGAATACATGGGCAATGGGAACGAGGGAAATTCTTGCCTGAGCCTGTGGTTGATGAGGATGGGTTCACGAAGGTGGTTTCAAAGAGGCGGCGATGATAGATCATCCCTCCTGTCTCTTACTTGCATTCAATTTTGTTAGGATTTAACGATGTGCATGGTTTTCATACAATTATTGGGAATGGCGTATAGCGTGTTTGATTAATCTTCTTTTTATTTCTTTTCATTTATCACCGTTTCTACGAAAACCCTTAGAGAATAGTTACGAAATAGAAAAAGACATTCTTGGCGCTGTAATCAGGTAAGAGTATGCGCGTAGTGACGAAAGGAGCTGTCCTCTAATATAAAATTCTGTTCAATTTTACCTGTTACCCGCTTTTTGGTGAAAAGAAAAAATAATATGGATAGAAAATTCCGTAGAATAGTCTATTTAGTCATGATATCAAAACGCGCTATAATTCCTCGGGGGATCTCTTATGCACGTCCCTTTCATGACATCGTCCAACCACTTTTGCCGGATACTAAATGCGTTACAGCAACCGTGATCCAAAGAAGGGGGAAAAATTAAGACAGAGATTCCCTTGGAAATAAAAACGTTGCTTTACGCTGCTGTTGCCTGGTCCGTGGTAATTAGCCTAGTGATCATGCCGATGGCAATGGTTTGTCCCTGCAGGGAAAGAGTTAGAGCTCATTCAAAGGATACATAATTGGCGGGAGATGTTTTACCTGATCACGAAGTGTGAAACGACCAAGCTGATTGTAATCCTCAAATCGCTCTACACAAACGGCACCGGCTCCCCCAATGGTCTCTAGCCGGGCAATGATGGTTTGCCCTTTGTTTGCAAATGGAGGTGGTTTCTTACTCTTTCTGCCAGTTTCCTTCTCGAGTTTGTGTAACAGCGCGGCGAAGGTCACTTCTTCAATGGCAGCGTGCACATGGAGAACACAGTTGAATCCAGCCGTGAGAATGCTCTTGAGGTCAAGAATTCTGATCTTCGCTTCAAAAGCAGTAACACAGTGGACGGGTCGTTTGGGAGAACACAACACAAATCCTGGCATAATATCTTCTTCCTCAACACCCCGAAGTCGAGCCCGAATTTGATCACCACATGTTGCCGTTGCAATCTCATCCTCCGTTTCACCGTACAGCGCCGTAACTGTGACTTCTTCGCGGTTGGGCATCATAATATACGAGGAGCCCTTCTTTATAACACCTGATTCGATTCTCCCCTCAACAACAGTTCCCATATCACGGTACTTTGCACTGATTGGCATCATGAAGGGAGCGTTGATTTTACGTTCGGGCATTCTCATGTTGTGGAGGAAATCAAGAAGACTGGGACCATCGAACCAGGGCGCAAGGTCTTTGGGAACGGGCGCATTTATGCCAATAGTCTTCTGCGCGGAAATGGGCATGAAGTGCAGATCCGCCTTGGCATAACCCATGCTTTGAAGGAACTTGCCAATTTTGGTTGTACATTCATCATATCGGGCTTTGCTCCATTCAACAGTAGGGTCATCCATTTTGTTGACGGCCACAATCAGCTTTTTCACACCTGAATTCCGAGCCAATAGTGCGTGCTCTCGGGTCTGACCGCCTCGCTCGAAACCCGTTTCATATTCGCCTTTTCTAGCGGAGATAACAAGAATACCAACATCAGCCTGCGAGGCACCACCAATCATATTTGGGACGAAGGATTTGTGGCCTGGCGCATCGAGAATAGTATAATGGCGCTCTACTGGACCATCAGGTGTATTTCCAGTGGTCTTGAAAAAGGCCCGACCAACTTCAACAGTCTTCCCCTTAGCTCTCTCTTCATTTGTCAAGTCTAGAGCCCACGACAGGTACCATGTCTCACGTCCCGCTTCTTTAGCCTCCCTTTTGTACTTATCCATGGTTCGTTCATCCACCATACCGGTTGCATATAAGATGCTTCCACCCAAAGTGGATTTGCCTGCATCAACGTGGCCGATGAAAATTAAATTAATGTGTTCACGTTTTTCGCCATAAATTTCCTTAAGCGTAGCTTCATCGACATCCGCTGCCTGCTCTTTGGCGATAGCGTCGGCATCACGAGCTGCAGTTTTGGTTTCCCCGCCACGTGCAGGAGAAGATCGCCCGGAGGATGGTGTGGGCGATGTCTTGCCACTGGAAATGCCCTTTTTGTCAGTCTTTTCAATCGCTTTAGCAGCGGTAACCTTCGAGGCAGCGATGGCTGCCGACGGACCATTCGCATTTTGTGATTCGCTGACAGATATGCCGGAAGAAGGCGGGGTAGGTGTAACAGCTGTAGATGAAGTTGGGGTTTTGGGTTTCATAGCATCTCCACCGATCGACAGGACCTTTGCCTTGGATGGCTCTGCCGTAGCAGTCATCTTCGGTTTCACAGCCTCAGGGGCCTGTTTGGGGGCGGTGGGAGCGCCAGCATTAGGTCGTTCAGCAATTGACTGCGGGCGCCATTGTTGCTGCTGCTGCTGCGGTTGTTGTTGTTGTTGCTGTTGCTGCTGCTGGTGCTGTTGTTGGGGAAGGCCAGTATTCTGGTTGTAGCCCCCATACTGTTGACCATAGGCCTGACCATGCCCTCCTTGCTGACCATAGCCTTGGTTATACTGGCCATACGGCTGTTGCTGATAAAACCCATAGTTTTGTTGTGGGTAGCCTTGGCCGTACTGTTGGTATCCGTATTGCTGGAATTGTTGGCCGGGTTGGAATGAAGCCGCACCCGGTTGGAATGACGAAACTCCATGACGGAAGGATGATTGCTGCGGCTGATTGCTCAAGTTCAGGCTCTGCTGAGTCTGTCTGGACAGGTTGTCGTCTTGTGCGGCGGGGTCATCCTCCCACGAGTCTAGCGGCTTGTTCGACATAATGGCAAGGAAAAAGAACTAACACCAGTAGTTATAGCAATACAACGCCAAAGGAAAGAAACAGAAACTACCTGCATGTATCCCCGCCGTTGACAGTATCAATAACCGCAGAGGGTGGAATAAAAGGAGTAGATTTGTCGATGGGTGTAAGTTGGGAGCGGGAACAACTAAATTGAGGTTGATTTTTAGGCACAGACCGCTAAACCTATTTCAGGTCTAGTCTATATCGCGGTAATGTCGTTTGATGATGACATAATTAGCTGCGCAACTCCTCCAAAGTTTAGCGCTTCCCCTAGTCAATTTTTCCCAGCTAGACCGACAACAAACATCGTTTCAATTCTAAAGACATCTAATATGAACTGACATTCTTCAGTTGATTCCTGGTTTCTCCCCTGTGCTCGCTATGGTACTAACTAAAGAGGGAATTTAGCAACGTTCTTGTGTATGAGACTTGAGGTATTAGAACTGCGTGCTGCCTGCTATAGAACATCTCCATCAGGCCCCCCAAGTCTCATTCTATTATACCATTATGTGATTATGTTCGCCTACTTGTATAAGTGACATAATGCTATATTAATTTTCACGATGGATATGTTTCTTGCGAAGGTATGAAAATAGTAAGATCCTTTGCTATGAGGTGGGTTTACATCATCAACTGACCGATGTTCCCAGGTAACCCAGCAGGCGATGAACTATGCTATCCGGTAGGAATCCTATTATTTGGCTTTGATCCATACCCATAGCATGCTAATTTATATTAGCTCTGGAATTGCCATTACTGCGGGATATGCCATCCGCCAGTCCTCTAAACTGCTCAAGGTATGTACACCCTAGACGGTTGTCGGAGCTATTTTTTGTTAACCCCTTCATTAGAATGTCAGTGTTTCCCAACGGTCTGAGCTACAAATGCTCCAGGATCGTTTGCAGAGCAAAATAAGGGTGTGTTTCCTGCTTCTTCCTGGGATTTCATCTTTTATCAAATATACCCATTTGTGCTGTTCCTCATTACAGGCCTCAGATACTGACTGAAAAAGCAATTAGATAATATCTCCAGCCATTGACATGATTGAATTGATGTAAGCTTCCTTTATAGACCTTTGTATGTTCTATGGTTAACAGAACGCTAGAGCCGCACGTGGCAATACATCTCTCGAATCCGCTTTGTCACTTACCAAGGCTTTAAGATGGGATATTCAAAGTCTTGGTGAACGACTTGCGAAAGCTGTTTCAGTGGAGGAATTATATCAAGAAGGGGCAATTTCATCCAAGGCCCGTGCTGGACTTGATGACGAAATTAGATTCATTATCAAGGATATCCGAAATGTGTTACAGAGGATCGAGGATGCTGTGCCGTTAATTAACCTTGCTATTACCACGTCGGGGGCAAGTCTATCTACCTCGCTTCCTGCGTCCGTATCACCCTCACGATTGCTTCAAGCAAGCACCTTTTTGACTACAGGAGATACACAATACTCTATGTCACCCTCACAGCCGGTACAAATAGGTCCGACATTCACATTATCAGTGTACATGTTATTTTCTGGACACATCCGACCAATAGATGAAGTAAGCGTCCGGAATACTACTTGGAAAGAAGTAATCCACAAAGCAAGAGTCAAAGTACGGCGGGTACCTATGGATATGATGTTTTCATCGTACACAAACCTGCATCCTCCGCGTGAATTTTCTAGTGAGAAGCATATCAGCGGCGAAGCCAAAACAGATGAATTTGCATACCAAATACTCATTATCGAAGACCTTGATGATGGTCGTGTACATAATGACGAAGAGAAGCATGGCAGCTTTGAAGATGTTGCTCTTGCGGGAATCAGAGAGATAATTCCTATTCACGAGATTTCAAAAATATTTTACGCTGATACCGGCAAGATTCTCAATATTGGAAATGAAGGGGAAGTGAATAATCCTGTGTTACTTCTCAAAAGAGACGTCAATGCCATCCCTCCTCGACGTATGATAGACCGATGTGAAGCCGAATTGGATCGGCTTCAAGGAGAAACGAGTGACAATTCTGAAGATGAAGAGCAATCCCAACTCGACGCACAACTCTTAGGAAGAAAGAGACCATCATCCACTAATCAGCATAATCCAATTGAACCTCAGCAATACAAATTCCCACCCGACCTGGATCTCGAATGGGTAGCCTTCGAAGTCCATGACGAAAGCGACGAACAAGACTCCGAAACTGAAGCAGAATCGGAACCAGAACCCCCCGCCCCTCTATCAGCTTCAACCTCAACTGGGAAGCCACTCTCCCAATCCCTGGATGCACAGATATCCGAGAAACTGACAAGTTTGCATATCCACGGGGATCACAGATCACCCTCATTCTCACCAGCGTCTGCCACCACACAGCAACAGTTTGCCTCACAGACATATACCCAACAGTCCCAGTATCACCAGCCGTATACCATCTCCAACCCCATCTTTAACAACATCCGCACATCTCTTTCACTCCTCGAGACCCTCCTGCGCCTAACCTCCCTCCAACAATTCCAGCAACAATCTCACCTCTCAATAACCGATGAGCTCCTTAATTTCTTCCTGGAAGAGTCCTCCGCAACTGGCGCGGGTGGCGACGAGCATCACCGCCAGCGTGTCCGTGCCGAAGCCCGCCGCAAAGTCGGCTGGGACCCGTACAACGAAAGTCCCCTAAAACCTCACGGTGAGGATTACCAGTACAATGGCACCAACGGCGAGTTTGACCAGGTGATAACTGCGACACCTAACTCCACAGTATGGAACGCTAGAGCAGGTGAATTGACACCACCGCTCAACGGCACGTATCCCATATCTCGCCGTGAGAGCCAACAATCTAGTCAGGTTAGATGGCCTTCACGTCGTTCAACGACGCCCCTGGAGGACCATTTGGATTCCCCAGCGTCACCCTCTGTACGCCCGTCTCGCCCAGGAGGTTGGAAGCCGAAAACACTTAGGAGACAACCACAGCAACGAGAGAGTAGTCCTCTGATCCCTCCGCAGGAAAGCCAAAAAGACGAAGGGCTAGGAACTAGTCCCGAATCTTTACAGAATATTTCAGGGAAGGAGTCGGATAGTTAGTTAATGCATATGGGGGAATGATGGGGAAACGATAACAAGTTAAGAATTATAAATTCAATTAGAAATTGTTTAAATGGCTACAATGCACAACACTCTTCAGACTCTGGTGAGCATTCTTGTGATTTCCCCACCTTCGTAACCCGCCTGGATTTCTTTTAGACTGTATATACCTCATCACCAACAGGTAGTCAATATACATGTGAATTGACAGTTAATGTTGATATTCGTAATTGACATTTGTACACCAGAGGAGTGAAGTCCCAGTCTTAATTAAATCAGAATACCTAGACGAATGATTAATGGAAATCATGAAAAGATGAAAAGTAAATTGATAAAATAATGAAGAGAAAACATTCAAAAGGGAAAGAAGCACAGAAAGAAACACAAAACAGAAAGCCAGAATTACAATAAAATTCAAACCTCTGACTATATCCAACAAATAATATACCATAACAAAACATGCATCACCGAAATAAAAACAAAGAGGAACGTAAGGAACGCCAATAACCATCACAGGGTGGTTGGGAAAAGCACACCACATGGATTTCAAGGGGGAATAGTGAAAGCACAAGCAGAGACTGAAAACAAGAAAATAAAAAAATGGAGAACAAATCTCGGATTGGAGATGCAAGCCCAGACGTGTGCGTACATATTGGTAGCAATGGGGATGAAATCCAGTACTGCTATTATCTTGAAACGAAGATAAGGTAGTCACTAATACACGAGCCGTCTCGCAAAGCCATGAGATTTGAACAGAGACCGGATTCTCCGTTGATTTATTACTCCCAATCCTCTTCGTCACTATCATCGGTTTTCGCAGCGGATGAAGAAATTGCTGAAGGTTTCCCGATACCCCTGGGACTATCCGAAGCACGGCTTGGAGCACCACTGACAAGATCATAGCTGGCATCGCTGCCGGCCTGTGATTGCTGGTCGTTGGAATGACGAGGTTCAGCAGCCTTTGGCGTATCGTTTCCAGAGGAGAGGCGTGAGGCCGACGTTGCTGTCGGAGAAGTCACTGCGGGATAAGCACCAGCATTCTTGTCGATGGTCACATGTGGAGTGGGTGGAGCTTCTGCGTCATCGTCGGAATCTTCGTCCCAGGCTACCTCTTCATCGTTGTTGGCCGTGGCGCCTATTGTGAACGTTGTTAGTAGGAGCAGGGAAATTGTAGAGAATAAACAAAAAAAAGCTAATGAAACAAACCTTTCAACATTTCTTTCCGTCTCTTCTCCTCTGTCTCAATCACCATACGGAGAAAATAATAACGACACCAGAAATCCGCATAGTCAACCTTCTCCGGAACAAGCGCTTCCATCGCCCTCCGCAGCTCAGGGTATATCTCTAGGTCCGTCGTAATGTCACTAGTTTTGCTATCAACCCTGAACTCACTCTTCCATGCGGGCCATTCCCCGCTCACGGGATCGTGCGTTAAGCGATCAAAGTTCGAATGGATAGCATGTAGCTGAGCCTCAAATCGCGTTGTATGAATAACCCTCTTCCCATCAACATCCCTACTCTCGAACAAAACCTTATTATTATCATCGGTGCTCTCAGGAGGCGCGATGCTCACGGCATCACGAAGGAAGTTGCGTATATTAGTCCCAAAACGCAACAGCGCCTCATCCGCAGCATCCTCTGCCTTCTCTATATCTTTCAACCGCTTCGCAGCCTCAGAGCGGAATCGAGAAATGAAACCCTCCCCATCTCCGTCATCCCCAGCAGCCTTGTCCTGGTACGCACCCGCAGCGGTAGGAGTGACAACATCCCCCTCATTTTCGTTGTCATTTTCATTTCCTTTCCCCTTGTCCTTTGCCCCGCTACCACCATCTTCAGCCCTCGACGATCCTCCCAATGTCAATCCTCTCGTTCTCCCAACGATACTAGCTCGCAAATCCGTGAAGCCCTTAATTGCCTCTTCGCTCGCAGCCTCATACTCCTGGAGCGCTCCTTGATAGTATGTCTCTCCCTGTTTGCGAACATTGCCCCACAGTCCGCCCAGTCGAGCTCCCCAAGGGTTCGAGGAGAAGGCGCGAAATGTTTCTTGAAATTCAGTGGTGAGGCCGAGATTGGGACGCGGAGAGGATTCCGCGGATGTGTCGGTTGCGCCCGAACCTGCCACTTGGTTGGAGAACTGGATATCTTGATTATTTGAGGAGAGGATCTCCTCTTGGATGTGATCGTAAGCTACATCCATAACCGCGGTCTGATCGACTGAGGGACTGTGGTTTGGAGTTGGAGTTGATTAATAGTTGGAGATAATGATTCAGTATTCACATGCAGGGTTGCTAAACCTCCAATTAATTGAGGCTATGTGTTATTCATTCCGGTCGTGTCACTACATGCAAAATGTCAGTGTTGGTGATGTCTCTCAGACTTGTGCTCCGTAGTTGATGTCGCATGGAGGTTCAATGTTCATCCTCTGCCATTTGGTGGTTTGGAGTTAGTTGATGCTTGAAGTACGGCAGACGGCAAAGCACGTAGAGTGCCATTCACGTGATATCAGAACCAAACGACCAGGAAGAAATAATTATAGGTATCTTGAAAGATGAATAGCTTGATGGATAAGTCTATAGAAAAATGAAAATAAAATAACAATACTACCACAAAACTCCAAACTTCCCAGTGTATCCCGATCAAAACTATACTCTAGCAGCCATATTCCCTAACTCCTGAGCGTTCGCTAACAGAACTATGCACATGAATAGATTATATCAATGGAATATAAGCTGGATCTAGAATTTACTCTTCAACACTCGCCTCCTCCTCTTCCTGCGTAAGATACTGACTTGACATCCAGACCGGCAGCTCGGGAACACTTTCCATCATGCTATCCGTCAACAATTGACTGACAGTTACGAGTCCCTGACCATTGGTAACCTGCGACTCAGCGCGACCTTGCTGTCCTTCATCATTGTCGCTTTGTTCTGAGGACGCAACCAAAAGGACTGGAGGCGACGACGGTGGTAGAACATTCCGCTCCGGTGCAACGACAGCGTGCCGATGTGGTGGGGAATCGGGGACAAATAAGCGATGCGGTTCGGTCAGATCCTTGGCTGGCTTTGGCACATGGGCTTTATGGCCCTTATTTTGAGCCTCTTCCAGTTCTTCCGGGATTGTTGAAAGTGGAGGGGCGAGGCATTCCCGATCTCCCAAGTCAGGACTTGGAAAGAGTTCCGCTAGCTTCTGTGAATCGATATTATCAAGTTCGGAGCCTGGGTCAAACGCAAAACTCATGGGCTTGCGGTAATAGAGCATGGACGGCTCGGATCCAAGAATTGCTCCCGGTAGATCATTGCAGGTCTCCTGATTAGCAACTGAACTCCTACGTTGGGTGGGCAGGCCATGCAGGTCATTTATGTCTTCGTATTGAGTTTCAGCTTGATGTAATTTTTGGCTTTTGGTACGCTGTGAATCGTACTCGTCGGCGGAAACATGAGAAGTTGTGTCATGGAATTCCTCTTCCTCTGATTCTGCGTCTGTCTCGTATATAACCATTTTTCTAGGTTTTTGGGGGACATGGGTATTTGTATCAGCGTTTGTGGGGTCATATTCAGGCAATTGAATTGGCAGAGAATGGGATAACGTAGAGAGCGTCTCGTCGATGTTATCTTCCGGTTTTAATGGTGAGGATGTGGCAGGTGTTGTTTTCACTTTCTTTGGTGATTCCACTGCACAACTCCGGGGAGGAGAGCTAGCTGAAGTTGAATTAAAAGGCGATTCGGGGATTTCATACTGTGCGATCAGTGAAGGGCGTACGGGCGTCTTAGGCTCAACCTTCACAACGGGAGAATCTACTTTCTTTGGCGTCACATTGCAGAATACCTGTGCAAGCGGGAACCTGGGCGGAGTCTCCTTGAACGTCCGTGGACATAACAGGAGACTCGGGCTATCTGGTGACTGTGATGATGGCACCACGAGTCTAATTGATTTCCGTGCTGTCACAGGTATCTTTGAGGTTGAATCACTGTCAACATATCGAGATGAGGGAACTCCTTGCAATGGTTGGCGAATGTCGACCTCAGAGGCTTTCCTTTTCTTGTTTGTTCTGAGCATTTGGTGTGCGGTCTTGGTCCTGGGGCTCAGAACATCACTGTCACTGATCTCCACCTCCGGCTCTTCCCCAATAGTCTCCATCTTGACCCCACCTTTCTTCCCACCCGATCTACTGCGCGACAGGTGGATTCTGCCGATATGGCCCTTAAGTCTAGAGGTTGGAACATATCCCATTTGGGTGAGAGTTCGATCATCATTGTCCTCATCGTGCTCAGCCACATTTCTCCTGCTACTTCCTCTTCCTTTCCCCGTACTCTTCCTCGACCTTTTTGGCAAGCTAGCAGATAGCCCATAATCACCATTTCCATCGTCTCTATCAATGTACCCTAGATCACCCTCATTGTCGTCGCCATCAGGGGCCAACAACGCCTGCGCCCGTTTCACAAAGTCAATCTGAGTCAGGGTCTTCTGACTCAGTACATTCCCTTCCAACGCAAGTCTACATCGTTGTCGCTGGCGGTTGACTCTTGGTTTGGACAGTCGAGTGGGTCTAGTGTGTTGTCGAATGTTGTGTCGAGTTGTGGTTGTGGTCGATTCGAGTTGAACGGGTTGGTTGGGTTTGTCGGGTTTGTCAAGTCGGGTTGCGTTTCTCCGAATCTTTTCCTTACTTGGCATTTTTTTCCCTTCGTCTTTTTTTCTTTCCCTTTTTTGGAAAAGGAGTGTGGAAAAAGTGATCAGTGACAGTCATGTACTGTTTTTTATATGGGAACGTTATTGAAACTGGGGGGGGATATGCCCTATGTCATGTGATTCACAATGGGGGAACGGGGAACGCGACGAGCGCGTTTATGACGTAAGCAGCTCGCTTCAACCCCGATTTCAAAAAGGGGTATAATTTGGAGTGGGAATTATGTAGACAGAGAAATTGTGTAAATATGGCGGTAGTTGATAGAGAAATGATATACAATTATGAACCTGTGTGACTTAATGGGATTTAGATATGTACGCCTGAACAGGAGAAATACCTCCCCAGGCTGCGTTGGTTGTTAATTCAAACAGTCATGTATCAAATACCCCAACTCGACGGTTATCAAGCCATTGTGACAACATAACATCAAATAATATGAAACTGCAAGGCAGAGGTATCAAATGAAGTAGGTTATATACAAAACAATATAAAGCCGTTCAGTTCCAAACTCATAGTCCCAGGAATGTATCTCTATATTCCAATCACCCTACCAGGTAAGAACAAAATCAAAGCCGTCATGTTTTCCCTTTGATTGAAAACCACTAGGTGTAAAGAAGAATAGACAGCAAATATACAGCTATATATGTAGCAAATGACGAGGGCGTAAAATGAAGAAGAAAAAAACCTAACCAATCAATTATCAGAGAGCAGCCAGTCCGGTTCCGCATCGTCATCTTCGGGGTCATGCGAAAGCATCGAACACTGATCAATCTCGCTGTCAGTGTCAGTTTCATGAACAAGGTCCGGTAGTTCTCTTTTCTCCTCGACACTCGTGGACGGCTCATCGCCACTGGAGGAAGGGACTGTGATGGGTGCGGTCGGGGATCCTTCGGCTGCGGTTGTGGAGGGTTGAGGGAGTTGAGGTGTTGAGATTGATTGCGGTTGTGGTTGTTGTGTATGCAGTTGTTGATGCTGACGTTGAAGCCCACACGTTTGTGTTGATGTCATGGGACAAGAAGTATGAGGCTCGGGGTCGTTCATTTCGATGGAGGGTCGAGTAGATGCAGGCTGTTGTTGTGAGCTTGTCCCACCCGGAGTCACTAACAATGTGTATAAAGACCTATCTCTTGGTCGAATGCGCGCATTTCCGACGGCTGAAATGGAAGTGGAAGGTCTTGCTTCATCTAGTATTGTTGTAGTCGGAGGCATAAACCCTCCACCTAAGCTTGCCTCTTCCCCTGTTGTTTCGGGAATGAAGCCACTGGCTCCAGACAGGTCGTCAAATCCTGCAAAGCCTCCGTTGGGAGAGGTGATACCACCCTTTCCACCTTCACATATAAACCCTCCGGCTGCTTCCACATCTTCGTCCCCGTCCTCATCGCCGCCACCACCGTCAATGTCACCATCACTCGAAACATCATCCGGCTCTTCTTCCCCCTCAAAAGCATATCTCCTCACACGTTCCGCAACTCTCAACTTCAGCAACAACAGCTTCCACATCCGCAACGCCTCCGCCGCCTTCCGCCCCTGCTCAGCCAGTACCCGCTCATCCTCCAACGCATCTATAACAGCATAAAGAGCCTCACGATATTCAACAGAGGCCACGATCCCTTGCACAACGGCCGTGCCATGTCTGCCCTTGAAATGGAACCCGGTCACCGCGTCTGCGTAGTCAATACCAAGAATCCTAGCTGCGCGTGCGGCTTCTCCGTGGCTAAGATGAAAGCCGCCTTCCGGGACCATAGTTGGAGTATACACATCAATATTCCCGAAGGCATTTTTCACTACGCGGTTGTCGACGACAGGGGGTGGCTTGTATAGCTCCGTTTGGTGGATGGCATACATGGGTGTTTCCTGTAGTTCCTCTTCGTAATCTGATGTCTCCTCGCGTCGTTCGAATGCCCATTTCGGTCGAGAAATTGGGAACCTCTTCAGTGGCTGCTCACCCATCTTTACCTCCCTTCCAAGACGATACCACCCGTCGGCACTTTTCACGACGTGCACATCACCACGGCGATACACAGATTCCAGCGGCGGATTCTTTTTGTTAATAGATACCTTACTCAGACCAACCTTCCCAATCTCCCTTTTAGGAAATATCACCTCATTTCTCCGCAAATGCCGCTCCAACGCATAGACAGGATGGTCTTTGAAATCCTGCACATTCCTCGGCATCGCCTCCGCCGCCGATTTCGCAGTCAATTCCCCGATTTCCACCTGATCCCTATCATCCAGAAATGGCTTCTCGAAGAACCTCATCGTACGCGCCCACCACTCCTCGCCGTTCTTGGTGGATTCAACACGCTGTTTTCTCGTCTTGGAATTAAATGATTTCGTGTATCGTTTCGTGACGTCACGGGCGGAGGCATCGTCCTCGAAGGCGATGACGTAACTCATGTTGTTGTAACGGTCGCTGGCGGGGGGTTCGAATTTGGACGTTTTGCCCACGCTGTTTGTCACGAGGGGGTCGACAGATACCCATTTTTGCATGGCTTCGTTGAATACTTCTACCCAGAAGACGGGAAATGGAGATTCAGCAAATCCTCGTGGCAAACCTGTATGTTGAATATGGTGGTTAGTAAATTGATATTTGTCTCACAAGACACGGGGAAAATCATGTATACTTAACATACCGATTGCTCGTTTCGGCTTGGGACTCGCTGCCACAGGGCTTGGTGAAAACCGAGGTTGTCCAATGCGCCGCATTCTTGATTGGGGCTGGGCGTTACCGGGCTTTGCCTGCGTCGGGGAACCTTTCCCAGCATCACTGCTAGACCGCACCTCGTCATCTTCGGAGAGCACAATATACTCCCGATCCGGTTTCAGGGGCATCGTCCTTTTTGTAACTCCAGTGAACGGCAGAACCTGTAAAGAGCAAACTAATCGCGCGTCCGTGCCTACGGCACGTAAAAGTGCACAAAAGAGCTGCGCACCTAGATCTCTGGATCCCTGTAACGCGACGGCTTGCTTAAGGAAGTCTTGTTTGCACGATAGAATTTCAGCAGTATCTAGAAGGCTCTGTATATTGGTCAGCGGATTATGCACCTGGATGTATTCCTTTTACTGCGAGAAAGGAGGGGTTCATCAAACAGTTGGATCTTTAATGTCATTGGGGTGCTCAAGCCAATAGGGCCTCTTCATGCCTGGTGTAGTGACTTTGAACCTCTGCTTGAATGCATCGCCAGCCTGCTTGAGACCATCTGCAAATGTAGTCGAGCGCGTAAACTGCGGTAGGTTCGCCTTTGGGTTCAGACACATAATCGTATGCTTAGAGAGGATCCGTTTCAATGCGTCCTGGCGAGAACAAAGCAGTCAGTTTATCCGATATGGAAGAGAAAATATCAACAAAAGAGTAGCTCAGGATCATGCCAGCTCTACACACTTGAACCCCATCGTCATTACACCACAAGTTCCTCCGCTGCACATGGCCCAGCAGACACAAAACGTGCATCTTATGGATATCGAGCCGCCACCTCCTCTCCTGCGCCGTGACAGGTTTTCGTCTCATACCAGCAGCACGCTGCTTCCCTCTCTCCATTGGTTTATCTAGCGTAATTTGCAACGACCCTTCAGACTCCTCGGTCTCAACTCCCTGGTGGTGATTAGGTTCCTGCCCTTCTGCGGCCCCATCATAACCAGGCGCAAAAGAGAGCTCAGCAGCAGAGACCTCAACATCCTCCCATTCCATCTCTGATTCATCGTCCGACGCGTCAGCGTCAAATACAGTCTGGACAGGCCGACTACCATGTCCCTCCACGCCTCCCTCCCCTCTTTGAACATCAACTCCCACCCCACTTCTCCCCCTCTCCACGTCAACTTCAGTACCACTTCTTGTCTCCCCCACCCTCCTCCTTTTCAGAGGCCTCTCATCACCTCCATTACTCGCAGATCCAGATAGTGGTGAACCTGCCCGTCCAGCAATCTCAGCCAGCATATCGCGGTAAACTTGAGGAACTCCATTAGACGCCTCAGGAGCCAGACGTGTCGATCTCACTCTTTGTTCCACGCCTAGTCCCCGTACTCGTCCATGTGCCGAAACGGATTCCGAAGCTGTTCTCCGCACAGGAGTTTTCCCCTTCCCCCGTGACTGGATAGATGACTTTCGCATGATTATTGCTATATGAGCCGAATACCCCGACACTTCCACTTTAGTTCCGTGGTTGCATGGTCGCTGCTTGTATGTTTTTCCGTCTGTGCTGTAATTAAATATGTCTTCAGCTCTCACAACCACCTCACTCTCCCTCCCAAACACGGCACCCGAGCCTGAACAACCAGCGCGGCTCGAACACAACAACCGAACTGCTTCACCTAGACAGTATCCCAGATATTCACAACTGAGTAAAATGTATAGAACTATATATGTAGAACCTGGTTGTGTCTGGATTCCCAGGTTCTCAATCCAATCCCAGGTTACAACAGGCGTGCGTCATCATGATCGTGTTATGCAGCCGGCTGCTCTATCACCCAGCAACGCGGTAACCAAGGGAAACACGGCTTTGCTCGTTTAGATGGCGGGAGGTAATGCGGGGTACGAAGGAGGGGTATATTGTTTTATTTTCGATATGAGGTAGGATATAAGGTGGACGGGGGATGCCCACGAGATGGGAGAATAGTACTATGTATATCTGGGATATCAACGTTCGTTAACCGCGGTCCGCACCGAGGATCAGATAACTATGTCAGGATAGAGTAGCTAAGCTGAAGCCAACTTAATCAATCAGCCCAGTTAGCTAAAAGATTCGAGCGATCTCTGGCTGTTTGCAGTTAGTTTAGGCCTTGGATACAAGAGGCGACAAGAAATCGGGAAGATATCTGTCCGCCTCTGTCCGCGGCGATCAAGCTCCCTTGGTTAATTTACTAAATTGGACTCCGATACTCCGCACTGGAGCTATTTATGCTGGCGATGCAGGGTCGCGAGCTAGCTATGGCGTGTCATTGCATACGCAGCGTACACGGGGGAGATTGACCGATGTGATGGGTGTCGATCCGAGAGTTGCAAACGCTGGCTGGGGCTTGGGGTCTGTGCAAATCATATCAATATTGATATAGGTAGTTGGCTACGAAGTTACAGTAACTATTTTCTTGGAAATGAGGAATATTGGAGAATCAGCTTGGCCGAGAGGGGAAAGAAACTAGATGATTCTCATTTGCTCTTTGCTTAACTAGTTAGTTGTAAAACGACTGCCCACGGTAACTGAAAAAAGAGTAGAATAAAAAGCGATGGGAGCTCCAAGCTGAGCCGCCAAACGAGAGCGCTTTTTAACCATCAACTAAAAGACGCCTTTCCCAACAGCATTGTGATTCTCGAACCACTAAGAAGTGATCAACGCGCAAATACGAGCTTCGACTTAGATAAATTAAATATTGTAAGGATATACAAGCAACTACTACTCCGTAGCAAGGTGATATACTTCGAACAACTAATTGAAACAATCAATGTCCCCCCCTCCCCGTCCTTCCACGTCGCTTTGCTTGACCATCCCTTGCAGTTAGTTGGATGTCTAGGCATAAACAAGCCTTTAAATTGTAAGTATACTTTCGAAAATTGGTACGAGCAAAAACATTGGTTTCAGAGGAATCCAAAAAGGAAACCACATGCATATACAAAAAGGAAAAAGCACAAATTAACGGCGTTGAGGAGAGTAAAAGTGAAAAGGAATAAGTGAGATAAAGAAAAACTTGTTAATTATGAAAGCAGATACAGGTAGTTAAATATAAGCACAAATGAAAAATGGAAAAAGAAAAGTAAAAATAAAATAGAGAAAAAGTTAAATGAGACATAAAATAGATAAAACGATAACAAAAAGGTATCTCAACAAAAGTGACATTTCAGAAACACGAACAGCATCTGAGCGAAAGGGAGAAACGTCCCACCGGCCACATATTCTGAAAAGCTGAAAGGGGGGAAGTGGGGGAGGAACAGGAAGGGACAGGGATGGATGTCGACCGCGAAGACAAAAACACTGGGCTGAGAACAACACAAATATCATAGCACAGGCAGGGCATCGTCCAATCTACCCGTTCCAATACACTCTACAAACTACAATTCTACATTCAGCCATCTCAACCCACATGACACATCTCAAACATCACGAAGGCCCTGACTGGTCGGAGAGGCAGTGGGGCCTCCTCCATGGATAGTCAATCCACACAGCTGTCAAAACTGTGCATAAATAGCTTCTCTCCTCAGCGGTCATTAGGTGGTGGGATCCAGGGCCTCACTGGACATGTCCGTTGACGATTTGATGTTGTTGTTGTTGTTGTTGTTGTTGTTGTTGTTGTTGTTGTTGTTGTTGTTGTTGTTGTTGTTGTTGTTGTTGTTGTTGGATGCAGTGGCAGTAGGTGTGCTAGGGGTTGGTGGTGTGTGATCCTGGCCAACTTTGGAAAGCATGTCGACAATTCTATGGGTGGCTTGCGGTTAAATAATGAAGCCGGGGAGAGAGAGGAACGGGAAGAAGAAGAAGGACCAAGGAGAAAAAAAAGGAATAAAAGAAGGGAAGAAGAAAAGACAAGAGATCGGTGTATATGAGACGGCTAAAGCAAGATATTTATAAACAAGTCTAAAAGGTCTCATACCTAGCGTTCTCGTCAAACATGCTCTCATTCACATCCTCAAGCTGGCGGAGCTGTTCCCGAATGCTGGCCATCTGTACTTTTATTAGCGTATGATCAGAAATTTTCAGGGTAAAACAGAACACTCGGGAAATGTAAGTGAAAATCTCAAATGAGAGCCAAAAGGAAATGGAAATATCAAAAAGCAGAAAATTCAAAATACCCAATTGCAACACGCCACGGAACAATGACAAGCACGCGCACCACCCGCAACGCACCACCAAATTCCAAATACAAAATACGCGATAGCAAAGACGAACAGCAAATAAAGAAATGAAACGAGGCAAGCCCACCGTTCCCTCAATATTAGAGCCAAGGTCCTCACCTTCAGCAGTAGCAGGACCAGCGTCTTCTGGAAGTACCTTTGCAGCAGCAGCAGCAGCCGCCTCTTCCTCCCTTCCCTTCTCCTCAGCATCCCCATCCTTAACCGCCCACTTGCTATCCTCCAGTCCGCTGGCAGACTTCACGTTGGACCCGTTCGACCCATTCGAGAGGGACGAGGTGTCGGGTTTCTTGATCTTTGAGTCAGCGAGTTCAAATTCCAATTCGCGGATCCGTCGGTTACCCTTTGATATGGCTGCTTCGGCGTCATGGAGTTGTTGGATAAGGGCGATATTTTTCTCGCTGAGGGTGTTCATGTCTTGTTCGAGGGCAGCGAATTTGGTTTCGACAGAAGTTTTCTTTTCGTCTAAAGTGGTAGCGGTGGCTTTCAGGGTGTCAAGGTCAGCCAATGCTTGCTCATGAACCTGTTTCTGTGCAGCAAGTTCAGTCTCCGCAACGGATGATTGTTCTCTGACAGCAGCGAGCTGCTCCTTGAGATCTTGGGTTTCGGAGAGGTCATTCTTCGCATCCTGTAGCGCTTTTTGAAGAGATTCATTCTCCAATTGTATCTGCTCCTCCAACTTCCCAATCTGCGCTTTTAACCCCTCAACCTCAACTGCATGCTCCTCAACAGCAACAGCCTTCTCCCTTACTGCCTTCTCAAATTCCTCTCTCAAATTCCCCAACTTCTCCTCATGCGCACTGAGAAGCTCCTCAATCGCCCGATTCTGGCTCGCCTCCATCTCAATGAGTTTCTGCGCATGCGCGTCCCCCGCATCTTGTGCGGTCTGCGCTCTATTTGTCTCGAATTCCTTGGTTAGTTCTGAGATGGTCTGGTTGTGCGTTTCAGACAGGGCGGTGAGTTTTGCTTCGGCTTCCGCTAGGGCGGTGGTATGTGCCACTTCCGCAGCGCTGGCGGAGGCAACGAGGTCGTCGTATTTTGATTGCAGTTCCTTGATGGTTGTGTCATGGGAGCCGAGTAGTTCAGCTTTGAGGTTTTCGATTTCCTCGCTGTGGGCTTCTGTGAGCTCCGCAGTTGCGGCGGTATATTTCTCCTCCACAGTAGCGAGTTGTTCGGATTTTTGAGAGAGCGAAATGTTGATATCGTTGACTTCAGTTTCAAGTCTTGAAATTGTTGTCTGGTAGTACTCATCCTTGGCCTTGGTAGTTTCTTCCAACGTCTCGATGCCCTTCTGCAGTTCTTCGACCTGGGCCGCTTCGGCTTCAAGATCTTGTTGAAGCGAGCTTATTTTATCCTTAGCTGTGGCAAGTTCCTCTTCTGAGCATCGCAATTTACCTTCAAGCGACTGCAGATCAGCGGCGATGGCTTCCTTTTCGGCGGTACTGGCTTCTGCTTGTTGCTTCGCCTCTTCTAGAGCCTTCTCGGTTGCGCCGAGTTTTTCCTGTAGGGATTGTAATGTAGCAACATGAGCCTCGCTAGCTCCCTGTGTAGCAGTCTCAAGTTGGGCCTTGTAGCTGGTAACTTCGGCCTGTGCAGCATCAAGATCCGCCTCAGCAGCGCCAAACCTCTCAGTTAGCAACTTCAGTTCCAATTGCAGTGACTCAGTGGAAGCTTTAGCCTTGTCTTCAGCTTGAGAAAGCTCCTCTGTATGCTCCGCTATTTTGCTAGCCAAGGAAGAATCACGTTCAGCTTGAAGTGCAGCCATTGCCTTCTCATGCGCGGTGGTAAGATTGGTCTGCTTGAGAATTTCATCGGATTTCGCCTGTTCCGCTGCCCGAATATCATCCTGCAGTTGTTCAATGACTTTGCTCAGCCTTGTAATTTCCTCCTCCTTCTCAGCAAGCTTCTCTGTGGTTTGGGCGGCGCCTTGCGCGTTTTCAGACTTCGCTTGTACAAGTTTGGACTCGAGAGATTCAACCTTTGCCTGAATCTCAGCAGATCCCTTGGCCACTTCATTGGCAGCAGCCAACTCCTTATCCCTCTTATCTTGTAGACTCTGCATCTCATCCTTGAGGCTCTTGATGACGCCATCGCGGCCATTTAATTCCGCTTCCAGCTTCAGTAATTGATCCTGATGAGCTTCAAGATCCGCCTTTTCCTTCTCGGTAGCAGACTTGGCCGCTGCTTCCAGACTGGCAGTTTGGGCCGCCAGCTCTTCCTTCAACGTATCGATTTCCGAAGTAAGATCTGCCAATGTACTCCGCCGAGCAGCAAGTTCAGCTTCAAGTGCAGCAACCGCCGCGACATGGCTCTCCTTTTGCTGTTCAAGCAATTCAGATGTCTTCGAGTCGCCTTCCTGCGCCGCCAGCTGTTTCGCAGCTTCAAGCTCCTGGGCAAACCGAGACTCTGCCTCCAATCTTTGCGATTCGGATTCACCCAATTTAGCATGGAGGGTCTTGAGATCCTCAGTATGGTTCTTCGTAAGTTCAATAATTTTAGATTCGTGTTCAGAACGAATAAGTTCAGTAGCGGTAAAAACTTTAGTATCCGCCTCTTCTTCCATAGTCCTGCTGGACGCTGCGAGTTTCGATTGGAATTCCTCTAGTTGTGTCTGTAATTCTGCTACTTTGGCTTCGCTTTTCGCAAGTTGGGATTGGAGATCAAAAAGCTTGCTAGCACTAGAGGACTCATCACCCTCCTTGACCGCATTCAAGCTGCCTTTAAGCTGGGCAATATCCCCATCTACCACGCACTGGATCTCGTCCCTTTTTTCCTCATTCCCTGCCTCCTCCGCCGCAATTGCTGCCCGCAGCAGGTCACGGAGGGCCTTGTATTCCTTGACTCGTTCCTGGAGAGCGGCGGACTTGGCAACGAGCTTTTTCTCCGCGGGCCTTCCATGGTCAATGGATTGCTTCTTGGTTGTTGAGCTTGAAGTTGTAGACAAGGAACTCATGCGTCTCTTAGACTCCGTGGTTGTAGAAGATGTAGGCTTTGTGGCAGAAGATGAGGTAGTTGGTCTTGTAGATCGCGAAGTGGTGGTGGTGGATGGAGTTGTTTTGGAGGCAGTGGTAGGAGCCCGCGAGATTGTTGTAGCCTTTGCAGGGCTTTGAGCGGTAGACGGACGTGTTGTAGTGGGCCTCTTTTCAGTGGATGACGGGGTAATTGTGGATCTGCGGTCAGAAGTAGGCTTCGCAGGTACCCTGGAAGAAGCGGTACTGGTAAGAGATGCCCGTTTCACGGTAGCTGAAATGCCCGGTCTCTTGTTCTCGTCCCCTGAACTAGCAATTGATTTACTTTTCTCATCTGCAGAGCTGCCCAAAGACGCGCGTGGTCTGTGGGTGGCGGTAGTCGTGGATGGGGGCTTGCGGACGGTGGTGGATGACACAGGAGGACGAGTAGGGGGTCGATTGAGGCTGTTTCCGATGGTTGACTTTCTGGAGGTGGCAGAGGCTAGTTTAGAGGCTGCCGTTGTCGTAGGGCCTAAGGGACGCGTTGTAGCAGCAGCTTTGGTAGCAGTCCCAGTTCGTTTAGGAGCAGCAGTACCAGTCCTCTGGCGGGGAGAAGCAGTCATTGCTGTCGTTGTCGATGCCTTCTTAGAGGTAGCAGGGCTGGGAGGGGACTGTTGAGCCGGCTCATCAGGTTCGTCAGTGAGAGCTGAATTCGCGATGGTCTCATCGATCGGGGATTCCGGCGTTGGAGGCTCAGCAGCAGGAATAGGCACTTCTTCTACCAAGTCCATATTGAGTACAGTGTCGTTGGTAAGAGAGTGGCCAATTTAGGGTGACGTTTGATGTGGGCAATCACTCAGGGGGGAGGTCCTCCAAGCTTCGTCTTGAACGTGGAGGATGTGGGAGGGACTTGGAGGGACTGGGCTGGACGCGAGGACAAGACGAAGACAATTAACAATTGACAGTGTCTGGAAGAAGACTCCCAATCAGCACCAGTACTTAAGAACGACGAGAGGAGATGGTTGGAAATCGGGTGTGGCGGTGAAAAGGAATCGTGGTGAGGTGGAGAAGATGTGGAGCTGGAAGAAGGGAGAAGAAAAATTAAGGGTTGGACTGTTTGGGCTCCAAAGGGCGGATTATGAAGTGCAAGCGCAATCACAAGAGACGCAGATATGCAACAGAAATAAAAAGAAAAATAATAATAATAAAAATAAAAATAAAGAGCATGACTTTCTTTTTAAGGGAATAAAATAAATAAATATTCAACAATCGTGATGTCGTCTAGACATTCCTATGTGTGAAGCTGTCGATGTTGGAAGTGGTTGAGAGGACGCAGGAGAAGACAAGCCCCAAGGAATGTCAAGGTATCACTACGGAATAGTTAACTATGGAGGAGATTGATGACCGAACCAATTTTCCTGTGTTTAATTAAAGAGACGAAAAAGGAAGACAAGAGCCAAGAGTCATCGAGAGCAAAGAATATCTTTTTACAAAATCAAAAAGTATAATGCCTTCAGCAGCTTCGTTTCATCTAGGGTTGGAGATTACACTACATGTCCTGTGTCTTGAGAAGACCACAGATTGCGATGAAGCTGGCAGCTTTGAAGCTACCGATTCAAACCAGCAGCCTCATTCTCCGCCAGACCATATGAAGATGGTTGTGATTCATTCAGTTAGTTAGGGCTGTAAAATTTCGATTCCATCAGGCACAAAAAGGTTATCATCAAAAGGCATAACCATAATCACTACCCAATCCATGGTTCCGGGTGATGTTAAAACATAGAACTAGCCAACCAGACAAGCGGTGACTGATCAATGGATTGGATTCATCCCAACGCCCTCACGGGTTAGAGCTAACGAGGGAGCAATGGGGAGTCAACGCAGTTGAAGCCCCCAAGAGCATGCATCCAACAGAATCCAAGGATATGCGTGGTGGCAGTTACTTACAGCTCACGGGCAATCGTGGCACCAACCAAGGACATCGTTTGTGCCCTAGATGGGGCGGCGAAGGGAGAGACTCTCGAGGTGAGCATGAAAGTGTTACGGATGGATGTGTTCATGCCTGAAACAACGCATTAAATAGCAATCCTGTCGCAGGGGACACGTTCAGTGGTTGGAGTGATCGTAGAAGAGGAGAAGTTGAGCACCGTTGAGGTGGGGTTGATCAGAGAAGATGAGAGAGAGAGAGACGTCTGGTAGCTAGGAATTATCGCAACGCAATGCATGAGCTCCAAAGGAGTTGGGCACATCGCCCGGTGATATCACTAATTTATCCAGGATTAATTGTGGCTGGTGTTGGAACTGTTAGTTAGCTCCTAATGTTGGATGTTTTGATATTTAGCTCCCCCGCATGGATTGCAATTCAAAACATATTCGCAATAGTTAATGCAGTTTGCTATTAGATCTCGAAGCGAACTCTCTTCCCTTTCTTTCTCTTCAGCTTCCAGATGCCAAATGCTCCCTGTAACTAACCCCGCTCAGATCTTCTGGAGGTTGAGCTAGAAGGATGAAGCGGCTATGCGATCTCTTGATCAATTAGATGAAGTTCTTTCTTCAGCAGGAGGATTCTTTGAAAATGCCTATCTTCTTGTTGAACAGAATCCCAACCAGGGGAGCTCTATGAGCGGGCCTGGCTCTATCCGATAATCCGATAATCCTATAATACCTCCTCCCCTCCTCCCCGGCTGAGGTGTATACCGCTAATCTCAAAGGCCCAGGGAACAATGCAATTGGAATTCTTCTTCCGTTCTTTCATGTCTGTCCTTTAACAGACAAATATCCCCTCCTTCTCATCCCAGTCCCAACCGTAACCCCGACCGCCACCCCTCTCCTCCCGGGGGACGTAACCAACTGAAGAAAGTGATCTCGTCTTTCTGTTTACTGCTCGAAAGATCATATCATAACTACCTGACCCTTTTACTAACCCGAGATGCCTTGCAGCGGGTTGCCGAGTAGTGACCTACAGGGTTTACGTCGGTTGAACCGGAAATCCCTTCGTTGGAGAGACCTCGTGGAGACCTCGTGGCAGGGAAGAATACTTGGTCAACTAACTCTCTTTCTTTTCTCTCCCCACCCGGCAAAGCCAACGCTATCCTCCCCAGCTACTTCACTGCCTGGTTCCACAGCACCATCTGCTACCTCCTCCCCCTCTACGGCACCACCATAGCCACGTCTGCCGCGAATCCACTATTCCATGAAACCCAAGCCTTGCACGCATCTGGTGCGAGGGCGTGGTATTGAGGCCGGCCTGAACGTTTACAGAGCTGCATTTTCGTGTTCGTGCTGTTGGTTATGTATCTTGTCAGGGATATTTACGGAGGATCAGTCTGGGGAAAGTAATGCGGGGGGGTTGCAGAAGTGGTTGGAGGTCGTTTGGTGGTGGTGCTGAAGCTGGTAAAGTTGTTAGGGAGCTAAGTTACGTAGTTGATTAGGGAGATGGGATCAATTGCTGCTATGTTTTAATAATAAAAATTCTTTTTATTCCATGAATTACATATTATAAGCATGATGATGCATCTCCCTTTTTTATTTTTATTTTTATTTTTTTAAATTTTTTATTTTATTTTATTTTTTCCATTAAAGCAATCTGATTCCCCGATCCATGGCGAGTAACTAACCAGTTAAACTTGTATGACGTTTGCTTTCCCCGGTAACAAGCTTCATATCGACGTTTGGTTATATTTACACCAACAACCCACCCCAACCCACAACCAAACATCCTTACAACACTGATACTAGCCTACCATATACCAGGACACCAGCAATAGGGACAGCAACAGGAATAGATCCCACATCTGTGTCCCCAATGTTCTAGAACCCCTTTCATATCTTACATCCACCCAACCACCATGGCTTCCCAAGGGACATTCTCCGCCCCATACCTCCAACGCCTAGACTCCTCTCAACCACACATCTTCGCACTCCCCTCCAAAAAAATTAACGAGGGCAGCGATGTATCCACCTTCCTCACCTCCCTCGCCTACAGGGATATCATGACCTTCATCCTCCAGCTTAACCGCGCAATGGTGCCCCAGAAAACCACCGACGAAGATGGTTCACCGCGCGTACAGACATGGCCGCTGAACTGCGATGCCGTCGAGTTCTCGGAACCCGTGCGCCGTCTGCAGCTCCTACTGTCCAAGCTTGATTCGATAGTCGATGAAGTGCCACCGGACAAGGGGCCAAGGCGCTTCGGAAATGTCAGTTTTCGCAAGTGGTGGCAAGAGGTGGAAAGGCGGGCGCCGGAGCTGCTGGATGAGTGTTTACAGCCCGAGGTGCTGAGGCAGGGGGCCCAGGGTCCAGAGTCTGTATCTGCGAAAGAGGAGCTTACGGCCTATTTTACAGGGGCGTTTGGGAGTCCGCAGAGACTGGATTACGGGACGGGGCATGAGCTGAGCTTTGTGGCTTTTCTGGCTTGTCTGTGGAAGCTTAATCGGTTTCCGAAGGCGGGGCCGGGGGTGGAGGAGAGGGGCATCGTTTTGGGTGTTATTGAACCGTATGTTATCCTCTTTATAATAGAAACGATTAACTACGAGTTTTCTTTTCTTACACTTCGCTCCCAGGAACATGATACTGACATTTGGACTGGCTGGTTAGATATTTCGAATTGATAAGGCGTTTGATCAAGACCTATACCCTCGAACCAGCAGGCTCACACGGAGTCTGGGGTCTGGATGACCATTCATTCCTCCCTTATATCTTTGGATCTGCGCAATTATCCCCTCCAATATCAGAATCTGATAATACGCCCATTGAAGGTTCACTACCAAACGCTCCGGATCCGTCCGCCGTCGACAAGGCAAACATGGTGGAAAAGGAGCGGAAACATAACATGTATTTCTCAGCTGTCGGGTTTATTTATGACGTAAAAAGGGGTCCGTTCTGGGAACACAGCCCGATGCTTTTTGACATATCGGGTATTCGAGATGGATGGGGGAAAATAAATAAGGTATGGAAGATATTTATTCAACTATTGGTCACCCAAACCCTCGAGGTTAGCTATGTCGTTCCACCACACTTACAGATATAAATACCAGGGTATGATAAAAATGTACAACGTGGAAGTCCTCTCCAAATTCCCCGTCGTCCAGCATTTCCCCTTCGGCTCCCTTCTCCGCTGGGAACACGATCCCACAGCCACCCCACCTCCACCATCCGTCCACATCGCCAACCGCCAAATAAGACCTGGCGCAATGGCCTCCCCTCTAACCGGAGAGCGTGAACAAGTACGGACAAAGGCCCCCTGGGCGACCCCTGCGGGAGGAGGTATGGGAATGGGTTTTGGTTCAGGGCTTTCTATGGCCATGCCATCTGCTTCGTTACAGTCAGGTTACGGAACCTCGCGACCTCCTCTGACGAGTACTACAACTAGAGCACCATGGGGCAGTAATCGAGATCCTATTACGGGACAGCTACCGTCAGCTGATCCTCGGGCGCCAACTCGGGCGCCGTGGACTAGTGGAGGTGGAGGCCCTCGGGTAGAGGCTAACTTCCCAACGAAGGCGCCGTGGGCGAGGGGTGATGTTGCTGGTGCTCCATGATGAGCCAGAGCTTTAGTTGGAAGTTGAGATTGTGGTGGGGTAGATCCGACCAAGTATATGTACTCTTACGCCCCTTGAAGGGTGAGTTAATTAATCTATGAGTGAATGGTTGATGGAATGATTTCTTGTATGATAGACGGGATGGAACAAATGGATTATATCAGTGATAACCTGGAAAATATGTGAACAAAACACATGAGACGAGAATTACATACGACGTACACAAATACACTCTGTTGTTATGCGTGCATATCTAGATATCATCTTCCTATGTATAATCCCCAAAAAAACGCCTAGGGTATCTCATGCTATACAAAGGCAATAGCTGTAACGTACGAAGCAAAATATGGAACATAGAAACGCAGAAGTGCATGAGCAAAAATGCCGCTCATTCAGAATCGTCAGACGACCCGTATCCCACCAACTGTTTAGGTGATTCTCCCCTCAGAGGCGTATTGGGAGTTTCATCATTCGTTACCGTAGCCGCTACCTGCCAGTTTCCATTTTTATTCTCGCCATCCGGAGTGCCACCATCACCATTGACCTCACCTTCATCACCTTTATCATTCCCATTCTCATGTATCCGTTCTTGAATTGGATCTCCCCCAGCTCGTACCACGCATGCAGATCTCGCAGTCCTCCGTTTCTTACCACCGGGAGTCCAATCCGTATCATCGTCCAGTAAAAACGGATCAACCGCTGCCCTCGTATTTCCGCTCAACTCTTGCTGTAACAACGCCTTCCGCTGTGCCACAACTGCTTCAGGCTTTCTGGCACGCTTCCCCATCCCCTTCCCCTTCTCTCCCGGCGTTCCGCGCACCTTATCCGCCGGCGTCTTTGCGATCGGCTTCGTCTCAAACAACGGCTTCGAAATGACACGACGAGCTACATCCCCACCAGCAATGGTGCCAGGGTCAGGAGCAAAATCCACCATCCCGGTCCTCACCCGATCCTCCTCGGACTCCTCCAACAACTCAACCCCCAAACTCATCTTATCCCGCAGCGCCTCTGTGACTTCTTGCGCATTCTCCCGCCTCTTCCTCTCCGCCCGAAACGCCCTCCTTAGTCTCCGCGACTGCTCATATGGATCCTCCCAGTCGCGCTCCTGCACCTTTATCAATTCCTCCATCCGCATCTTCTCCGTCATCAACCGCTTTTGATCCGCTACTTTTCCCTCCAGTTTCGCAAATGCGTCCTTCTCAGCTGCACCAACACCGCCCTCTCCGGCTTGCTGAAGCCGTAACCTGATCTCCCCATCCTCTTCATACCCGCCCTTCTCAAGCTCACCCGTATCCCTCCGCCGCCCTCCCTCTGTAACCACATAGGCCGTGTTTTGCGGATCAGTGCGAATTTCTATCCAGCCACCACAGATGGAGTGTTTCATGCGGAATCTGTATATTGGGGTTGAATAATAGTTCCCCACACGCTTTTTCAGCGCATTGAAGCGCACGCCCTGGCCTATCAAAACGCTGTCTGCTGGCTGGCAGGTGGAGCACCAAACGGCAAACGGCATTTCGAAGCGCACGGTTAGTTCGCCTGTTGTGTGTAGGTGGCGAGCGCGGGAGCCTAGAGGGTGCTTGTTGGCAAGTTTATTGCCGGTTGTGAGACCTTCTTGGTCGGGGGGGACATAGCTGGATAATTATGTTAGATTCGATGAGATGGGAAACTGGGTGATGTGATGTGAACGAACCGTCCCATATCTCGAGAGTGGTGTCAGCAGTTGAACTACATGGTTTTTGCCTTGGAAGAAGTCATAGAGCACTTTATTGTAAAACTCACTAAAGCCCTGCATACTGGCGGTCTATTGTCCAGAGACTGAGTTGTCTATTCCCTTTATTTCGCTGGAGGAATGAAGCAGATCGATGATGAACTAGGCAGCAAGGAACAAGGCGCTATTGCCAGTAAAATGACATCTGAAGTGGACATGAGACACCGCAGTTGAAAAGCACCTCCCACATCATAAAAAGCTATGTCTTGTGCGTATTCTGATGATTTGTGACGTTGAGGTAAAGAGAGCTGTCTTGAAGAGACGAAGTGTGAAAGGTGTGTTGTATCACGTGACATTGTTAAAATGCGTTATTAATCTTCGACTACACTCTGCCAAAAAAAAAAAAAAAAAGGTTCATCCTCAGCTGCTTTAATCTTCATTGAGTTCTTCTGCCATTTTCGGGGGAAACGACCGCTGCGAATATGTTCAAATGCCTAACAAATGTCCAAAAAGGGGCAATGCGCATCCTCCTTTTGTCAAAACTGCAAACGATATCCCGAATACCACGGGCATCTTCTTTCAGGCTGTGGAGGAAACTTACTGGGGGGTCAAAGAACAAGATACAAGATTATAGAACATGTGTGTGCCATTTATCTATTAGTCCCCAGATGTATAATAGATGAGGCACCTGTATTTTCACCGTCCCCTTGTATACAGCCCTCTGTGAGGAAATATCTAACCTCGCCTTGCCGAAACTTACAACCATCCGATTTGAATGCACTGGGCAGCCCCTGGGGAAATCGTATTGCGATCCCCCTTTCACGATCTGTGAATACTTTCTTGCTTCAAGAATCCATAACGGAAAATCATTCTTAGCTTTTTAACCTGGGACCTATCGGGCGAGATTTTCGCGACAGTGTCAGATTCATCTACCATTGACGCACAAGCTAGTGTACCCAAGCATTCCTGGACAAATCTACAGCGATCAACACTCGTATGTGGTAACTAACTATTATTGCATTCCGTAATGTCGGTACATTAAATATGAATTTAGTATTAGTACCTCCACACCGCACGATGCCCCTACTACCCCTAATTCATTCAGGAATGACGTATGCACACTGGATTAACAGTCTCACCAGTCGGCACCCGCTTATATGAAATCGAAAGATGACGTAGCACGCTGGAGTAGATGGGCAGATCCCGTCAAATGTCAAAGAAGCTCTGGTGGGAGAAGGCTTGGGTTGATAGCAAAGATTTGATTGCATGAACCACAAAGATATAATCAAAAAGACAGATCGATTCCAATAACTAACTTTTGAGTTTTCCGGAGATCGGCCGGTTAAATATCAAGGCGAAGGTAGACCTCAGTCACGCGAAAAATAACACTTCCCATTAAAAAGAGCATTGAGGGTTTTTTTTTTTTTTTTCGATCGGATAGCACTGAAGAGAAACAGGGACTGAATGAGTATCAAGATTACACTATAGATTTGTCCGCAATATGTTTTACACTGCCAGGAGCGGAAACTGCTGTATATATCAACCAGAATTACTCCGATAGCGCCGTGTGCAATGAGACACTTTCAAGCATTCCCACACCAGCCTCCAATCTCACACACAACTCTCAAATCCTCCACGCTCTCCCCGACCCACAATTTTGCCCCCTGCCCAAGCCCCGGCACCCGCCAATCCTGCATCTTCACATCCCACACGCTCAAATCCTTTCGCGTAATCTCAAGACGCAGCACCTCACTCTCCCCGGCTTGTAGCACGCGCGTTTTCTCGAACTGTCTCAGCTGCAACTTGGGCGTATCGGAAGCTGCCTGGTCTGGCGGCTCGACATACAACTGAGCAACGGCGCGACCGGCCATCTTGCCCGTATTAGTAATTTTCACATCGACCATGTAGGCGATATCCCACAGGGCGGGGTTGCCACCCTCACCACCGCCAGCACGGGGAGGCCGTTTTGGTGTCGTGCTGTATCCTTCCGGGTATGGATAGCCTTTTCCTGGCTTGATAGAGGAAGGGTTGTCGAGGTATGGGTAAAGATATCGCCAGATGCGGTTTAGCCCCTGTGGCCAGGCTACTTCATCCGCGGGTGGGATCGTGCTGGAGAATGTTGGAGGGGTGCCCCTGGCTGGTCTCGCTGGCGGGTATTCGGTGATTGGCGTGACAGCGATGGCATTGGGTTCGCTAAAGTCGAATGTCGTGTATGAAAGGCCGTGGCCGAATGGATATCGCGTGATTATGTTGTTCTTGATGAAGTGGCGGTAGTCGATGTAGAGTCCCTCCGTGAAGGTATCTTGAATTTGGATTACGGGGTTGTATATGAGATTGACGCTTTCTGGATAGTCAGATTCGGCTTTTGGGATCGTGTAGGGCAAATGGCCGCTGGGACTCTCGTCTCCAAACAGAACATCAGCGATAGTGCCGGCTTCCTGGCCTGGGAGATGGGCAATTAACACAGCTTTTACGGATGGCAAATCTATCCATTTCTCCATGATAATTGGCCCAACAGTGTGGACAACGACTACTACTTTGGAGAATACGCTCGCAGCGTCCGTGATAAGTCTGTCTCCGTCATGCCAGGCATATAGACCGGCAATCGTTCGGTCACCTGGATTGCCTTCCACCATGATATAGTTCTCCCCGGAATCGGCATTGATGAAAACAATCGCAATGTCGTCGGATTTTGCCGTGGAATTGGATGGGAATGTATCTGTTAGATGGAACTCTGTTTTCGGCGATCTGGCCACGATAGCGTCTTGAGGTGTTATAAGATATGGGACATTGGCACTTCCGCTGCCCCATCCCATTGTCAGGACACCTCTATTGCAGCCTCTATCAGCACAAGAGTTTAGTCCTTGTGGATCGGGTCCCGCGTCCGTACCGAATACCCTCAAGACAGCATTGGGAGCCAGAGGGAGGAGATTATCCTCATTTTTAAGAAGAGTAATAGCTTCTCTGGAGATAGCCCTCGCAGTTCTATTGTGGTCTTCTTGAACGTCGACAAACCGATTGACCACTCCAACTGGAGATAACACAGCACCAGGATACAGGAGATCGGTTTCCGCAGTCGTGTAGGTCGAGAAGTTTGGCAAGGGGAAGTCCTTGTCCTGACCCAACTTGAACCATGTTGCAACAATACGTGCAACCTAGGGCCAAAATAGTCAGATTACAATTCAAATATTGTGGGCATTTCTCTTCCCCAAGGAATAATATGAAAGCTTCTTCTATAAATAGACAAAAATGAAACAACGTATATCAACATACCATGTCATTCAAACGTTCA